AGTTGGTCCTGTGGACCGGTTGGACCAACCGGCCAGTTGGTCCTGTGGACCGGTTGGACCAACCGGCCAGTTGGTCCTGTGGACCGGTTGGACCAACCGGCCAGTTGGTCCTGTGGACCGGTTGGACCAACCGGCCAGTTGGTCCTGTGGACCGGTTGGACCAACCGGCCAGTTGGTCCTGTGGACCGGTTGGACCAACCGGCCAGTTGGTCCTGTGGACCGGTTGGACCAACCGGCCAGTTGGTCCTGTGGACCGGTTGGACCAACCGGCCAGTTGGTCCTGTGGACCGGTTGGACCAACCGGCCAGTTGGTCCTGTGGACCGGTTGGACCAACCGGCCAGTTGGTCCTGTGGACCGGTTGGACCAACCGGCCAGTTGGTCCTGTGGACCGGTTGGACCAACCGGCCAGTTGGTCCTGTGGACCGGTTGGACCAACCGGCCAGTTGGTCCTGTGGACCGGTTGGACCAACCGGCCAGTTGGTCCTGTGGACCGGTTGGACCAACCGGCCAGTTGGTCCTGTGGACCGGTTGGACCAACCGGCCAGTTGGTCCTGTGGACCGGTTGGACCAACCGGCCAGTTGGTCCTGTGGACCGGTTGGACCAACCGGCCAGTTGGTCCTGTGGACCGGTTGGACCAACCGGCCAGTTGGTCCTGTGGACCGGTTGGACCAACCGGCCAGTTGGTCCTGTGGACCGGTTGGACCAACCGGCCAGTTGGTCCTGTGGACCGGTTGGACCAACCGGCCAGTTGGTCCTGTGGACCGGTTGGACCAACCGGCCAGTTGGTCCTGTGGACCGGTTGGACCAACCGGCCAGTTGGTCCTGTGGACCGGTTGGACCAACCGGCCAGTTGGTCCTGTGGACCGGTTGGACCAACCGGCCAGTTGGTCCTGTGGACCGGTTGGACCAACCGGCCAGTTGGTCCTGTGGACCGGTTGGACCAACCGGCCAGTTGGTCCTGTGGACCGGTTGGACCAACCGGCCAGTTGGTCCTGTGGACCGGTTGGACCAACCGGCCAGTTGGTCCTGTGGACCGGTTGGACCAACCGGCCAGTTGGTCCTGTGGACCGGTTGGACCAACCGGCCAGTTGGTCCTGTGGACCGGTTGGACCAACCGGCCAGTTGGTCCTGTGGACCGGTTGGACCAACCGGCCAGTTGGTCCTGTGGACCGGTTGGACCAACCGGCCAGTTGGTCCTGTGGACCGGTTGGACCAACCGGCCAGTTGGTCCTGTGGACCGGTTGGACCAACCGGCCAGTTGGTCCTGTGGACCGGTTGGACCAACCGGCCAGTTGGTCCTGTGGACCGGTTGGACCAACCGGCCAGTTGGTCCTGTGGACCGGTTGGACCAACCGGCCAGTTGGTCCTGTGGACCGGTTGGACCAACCGGCCAGTTGGTCCTGTGGACCGGTTGGACCAACCGGCCAGTTGGTCCTGTGGACCGGTTGGACCAACCGGCCAGTTGGTCCTGTGGACCGGTTGGACCAACCGGCCAGTTGGTCCTGTGGACCGGTTGGACCAACCGGCCAGTTGGTCCTGTGGACCGGTTGGACCAACCGGCCAGTTGGTCCTGTGGACCGGTTGGACCAACCGGCCAGTTGGTCCTGTGGACCGGTTGGACCAACCGGCCAGTTGGTCCTGTGGACCGGTTGGACCAACCGGCCAGTTGGTCCTGTGGACCGGTTGGACCAACCGGCCAGTTGGTCCTGTGGACCGGTTGGACCAACCGGCCAGTTGGTCCTGTGGACCGGTTGGACCAACCGGCCAGTTGGTCCTGTGGACCGGTTGGACCAACCGGCCAGTTGGTCCTGTGGACCGGTTGGACCAACCGGCCAGTTGGTCCTGTGGACCGGTTGGACCAACCGGCCAGTTGGTCCTGTGGACCGGTTGGACCAACCGGCCAGTTGGTCCTGTGGACCGGTTGGACCAACCGGCCAGTTGGTCCTGTGGACCGGTTGGACCAACCGGCCAGTTGGTCCTGTGGACCGGTTGGACCAACCGGCCAGTTGGTCCTGTGGACCGGTTGGACCAACCGGCCAGTTGGTCCTGTGGACCGGTTGGACCAACCGGCCAGTTGGTCCTGTGGACCGGTTGGACCAACCGGCCAGTTGGTCCTGTGGACCGGTTGGACCAACCGGCCAGTTGGTCCTGTGGACCGGTTGGACCAACCGGCCAGTTGGTCCTGTGGACCGGTTGGACCAACCGGCCAGTTGGTCCTGTGGACCGGTTGGACCAACCGGCCAGTTGGTCCTGTGGACCGGTTGGACCAACCGGCCAGTTGGTCCTGTGGACCGGTTGGACCAACCGGCCAGTTGGTCCTGTGGACCGGTTGGACCAACCGGCCAGTTGGTCCTGTGGACCGGTTGGACCAACCGGCCAGTTGGTCCTGTGGACCGGTTGGACCAACCGGCCAGTTGGTCCTGTGGACCGGTTGGACCAACCGGCCAGTTGGTCCTGTGGACCGGTTGGACCAACCGGCCAGTTGGTCCTGTGGACCGGTTGGACCAACCGGCCAGTTGGTCCTGTGGACCGGTTGGACCAACCGGCCAGTTGGTCCTGTGGACCGGTTGGACCAACCGGCCAGTTGGTCCTGTGGACCGGTTGGACCAACCGGCCAGTTGGTCCTGTGGACCGGTTGGACCAACCGGCCAGTTGGTCCTGTGGACCGGTTGGACCAACCGGCCAGTTGGTCCTGTGGACCGGTTGGACCAACCGGCCAGTTGGTCCTGTGGACCGGTTGGACCAACCGGCCAGTTGGTCCTGTGGACCGGTTGGACCAACCGGCCAGTTGGTCCTGTGGACCGGTTGGACCAACCGGCCAGTTGGTCCTGTGGACCGGTTGGACCAACCGGCCAGTTGGTCCTGTGGACCGGTTGGACCAACCGGCCAGTTGGTCCTGTGGACCGGTTGGACCAACCGGCCAGTTGGTCCTGTGGACCGGTTGGACCAACCGGCCAGTTGGTCCTGTGGACCGGTTGGACCAACCGGCCAGTTGGTCCTGTGGACCGGTTGGACCAACCGGCCAGTTGGTCCTGTGGACCGGTTGGACCAACCGGCCAGTTGGTCCTGTGGACCGGTTGGACCAACCGGCCAGTTGGTCCTGTGGACCGGTTGGACCAACCGGCCAGTTGGTCCTGTGGACCGGTTGGACCAACCGGCCAGTTGGTCCTGTGGACCGGTTGGACCAACCGGCCAGTTGGTCCTGTGGACCGGTTGGACCAACCGGCCAGTTGGTCCTGTGGACCGGTTGGACCAACCGGCCAGTTGGTCCTGTGGACCGGTTGGACCAACCGGCCAGTTGGTCCTGTGGACCGGTTGGACCAACCGGCCAGTTGGTCCTGTGGACCGGTTGGACCAACCGGCCAGTTGGTCCTGTGGACCGGTTGGACCAACCGGCCAGTTGGTCCTGTGGACCGGTTGGACCAACCGGCCAGTTGGTCCTGTGGACCGGTTGGACCAACCGGCCAGTTGGTCCTGTGGACCGGTTGGACCAACCGGCCAGTTGGTCCTGTGGACCGGTTGGACCAACCGGCCAGTTGGTCCTGTGGACCGGTTGGACCAACCGGCCAGTTGGTCCTGTGGACCGGTTGGACCAACCGGCCAGTTGGTCCTGTGGACCGGTTGGACCAACCGGCCAGTTGGTCCTGTGGACCGGTTGGACCAACCGGCCAGTTGGTCCTGTGGACCGGTTGGACCAACCGGCCAGTTGGTCCTGTGGACCGGTTGGACCAACCGGCCAGTTGGTCCTGTGGACCGGTTGGACCAACCGGCCAGTTGGTCCTGTGGACCGGTTGGACCAACCGGCCAGTTGGTCCTGTGGACCGGTTGGACCAACCGGCCAGTTGGTCCTGTGGACCGGTTGGACCAACCGGCCAGTTGGTCCTGTGGACCGGTTGGACCAACCGGCCAGTTGGTCCTGTGGACCGGTTGGACCAACCGGCCAGTTGGTCCTGTGGACCGGTTGGACCAACCGGCCAGTTGGTCCTGTGGACCGGTTGGACCAACCGGCCAGTTGGTCCTGTGGACCGGTTGGACCAACCGGCCAGTTGGTCCTGTGGACCGGTTGGACCAACCGGCCAGTTGGTCCTGTGGACCGGTTGGACCAACCGGCCAGTTGGTCCTGTGGACCGGTTGGACCAACCGGCCAGTTGGTCCTGTGGACCGGTTGGACCAACCGGCCAGTTGGTCCTGTGGACCGGTTGGACCAACCGGCCAGTTGGTCCTGTGGACCGGTTGGACCAACCGGCCAGTTGGTCCTGTGGACCGGTTGGACCAACCGGCCAGTTGGTCCTGTGGACCGGTTGGACCAACCGGCCAGTTGGTCCTGTGGACCGGTTGGACCAACCGGCCAGTTGGTCCTGTGGACCGGTTGGACCAACCGGCCAGTTGGTCCTGTGGACCGGTTGGACCAACCGGCCAGTTGGTCCTGTGGACCGGTTGGACCAACCGGCCAGTTGGTCCTGTGGACCGGTTGGACCAACCGGCCAGTTGGTCCTGTGGACCGGTTGGACCAACCGGCCAGTTGGTCCTGTGGACCGGTTGGACCAACCGGCCAGTTGGTCCTGTGGACCGGTTGGACCAACCGGCCAGTTGGTCCTGTGGACCGGTTGGACCAACCGGCCAGTTGGTCCTGTGGACCGGTTGGACCAACCGGCCAGTTGGTCCTGTGGACCGGTTGGACCAACCGGCCAGTTGGTCCTGTGGACCGGTTGGACCAACCGGCCAGTTGGTCCTGTGGACCGGTTGGACCAACCGGCCAGTTGGTCCTGTGGACCGGTTGGACCAACCGGCCAGTTGGTCCTGTGGACCGGTTGGACCAACCGGCCAGTTGGTCCTGTGGACCGGTTGGACCAACCGGCCAGTTGGTCCTGTGGACCGGTTGGACCAACCGGCCAGTTGGTCCTGTGGACCGGTTGGACCAACCGGCCAGTTGGTCCTGTGGACCGGTTGGACCAACCGGCCAGTTGGTCCTGTGGACCGGTTGGACCAACCGGCCAGTTGGTCCTGTGGACCGGTTGGACCAACCGGCCAGTTGGTCCTGTGGACCGGTTGGACCAACCGGCCAGTTGGTCCTGTGGACCGGTTGGACCAACCGGCCAGTTGGTCCTGTGGACCGGTTGGACCAACCGGCCAGTTGGTCCTGTGGACCGGTTGGACCAACCGGCCAGTTGGTCCTGTGGACCGGTTGGACCAACCGGCCAGTTGGTCCTGTGGACCGGTTGGACCAACCGGCCAGTTGGTCCTGTGGACCGGTTGGACCAACCGGCCAGTTGGTCCTGTGGACCGGTTGGACCAACCGGCCAGTTGGTCCTGTGGACCGGTTGGACCAACCGGCCAGTTGGTCCTGTGGACCGGTTGGACCAACCGGCCAGTTGGTCCTGTGGACCGGTTGGACCAACCGGCCAGTTGGTCCTGTGGACCGGTTGGACCAACCGGCCAGTTGGTCCTGTGGACCGGTTGGACCAACCGGCCAGTTGGTCCTGTGGACCGGTTGGACCAACCGGCCAGTTGGTCCTGTGGACCGGTTGGACCAACCGGCCAGTTGGTCCTGTGGACCGGTTGGACCAACCGGCCAGTTGGTCCTGTGGACCGGTTGGACCAACCGGCCAGTTGGTCCTGTGGACCGGTTGGACCAACCGGCCAGTTGGTCCTGTGGACCGGTTGGACCAACCGGCCAGTTGGTCCTGTGGACCGGTTGGACCAACCGGCCAGTTGGTCCTGTGGACCGGTTGGACCAACCGGCCAGTTGGTCCTGTGGACCGGTTGGACCAACCGGCCAGTTGGTCCTGTGGACCGGTTGGACCAACCGGCCAGTTGGTCCTGTGGACCGGTTGGACCAACCGGCCAGTTGGTCCTGTGGACCGGTTGGACCAACCGGCCAGTTGGTCCTGTGGACCGGTTGGACCAACCGGCCAGTTGGTCCTGTGGACCGGTTGGACCAACCGGCCAGTTGGTCCTGTGGACCGGTTGGACCAACCGGCCAGTTGGTCCTGTGGACCGGTTGGACCAACCGGCCAGTTGGTCCTGTGGACCGGTTGGACCAACCGGCCAGTTGGTCCTGTGGACCGGTTGGACCAACCGGCCAGTTGGTCCTGTGGACCGGTTGGACCAACCGGCCAGTTGGTCCTGTGGACCGGTTGGACCAACCGGCCAGTTGGTCCTGTGGACCGGTTGGACCAACCGGCCAGTTGGTCCTGTGGACCGGTTGGACCAACCGGCCAGTTGGTCCTGTGGACCGGTTGGACCAACCGGCCAGTTGGTCCTGTGGACCGGTTGGACCAACCGGCCAGTTGGTCCTGTGGACCGGTTGGACCAACCGGCCAGTTGGTCCTGTGGACCGGTTGGACCAACCGGCCAGTTGGTCCTGTGGACCGGTTGGACCAACCGGCCAGTTGGTCCTGTGGACCGGTTGGACCAACCGGCCAGTTGGTCCTGTGGACCGGTTGGACCAACCGGCCAGTTGGTCCTGTGGACCGGTTGGACCAACCGGCCAGTTGGTCCTGTGGACCGGTTGGACCAACCGGCCAGTTGGTCCTGTGGACCGGTTGGACCAACCGGCCAGTTGGTCCTGTGGACCGGTTGGACCAACCGGCCAGTTGGTCCTGTGGACCGGTTGGACCAACCGGCCAGTTGGTCCTGTGGACCGGTTGGACCAACCGGCCAGTTGGTCCTGTGGACCGGTTGGACCAACCGGCCAGTTGGTCCTGTGGACCGGTTGGACCAACCGGCCAGTTGGTCCTGTGGACCGGTTGGACCAACCGGCCAGTTGGTCCTGTGGACCGGTTGGACCAACCGGCCAGTTGGTCCTGTGGACCGGTTGGACCAACCGGCCAGTTGGTCCTGTGGACCGGTTGGACCAACCGGCCAGTTGGTCCTGTGGACCGGTTGGACCAACCGGCCAGTTGGTCCTGTGGACCGGTTGGACCAACCGGCCAGTTGGTCCTGTGGACCGGTTGGACCAACCGGCCAGTTGGTCCTGTGGACCGGTTGGACCAACCGGCCAGTTGGTCCTGTGGACCGGTTGGACCAACCGGCCAGTTGGTCCTGTGGACCGGTTGGACCAACCGGCCAGTTGGTCCTGTGGACCGGTTGGACCAACCGGCCAGTTGGTCCTGTGGACCGGTTGGACCAACCGGCCAGTTGGTCCTGTGGACCGGTTGGACCAACCGGCCAGTTGGTCCTGTGGACCGGTTGGACCAACCGGCCAGTTGGTCCTGTGGACCGGTTGGACCAACCGGCCAGTTGGTCCTGTGGACCGGTTGGACCAACCGGCCAGTTGGTCCTGTGGACCGGTTGGACCAACCGGCCAGTTGGTCCTGTGGACCGGTTGGACCAACCGGCCAGTTGGTCCTGTGGACCGGTTGGACCAACCGGCCAGTTGGTCCTGTGGACCGGTTGGACCAACCGGCCAGTTGGTCCTGTGGACCGGTTGGACCAACCGGCCAGTTGGTCCTGTGGACCGGTTGGACCAACCGGCCAGTTGGTCCTGTGGACCGGTTGGACCAACCGGCCAGTTGGTCCTGTGGACCGGTTGGACCAACCGGCCAGTTGGTCCTGTGGACCGGTTGGACCAACCGGCCAGTTGGTCCTGTGGACCGGTTGGACCAACCGGCCAGTTGGTCCTGTGGACCGGTTGGACCAACCGGCCAGTTGGTCCTGTGGACCGGTTGGACCAACCGGCCAGTTGGTCCTGTGGACCGGTTGGACCAACCGGCCAGTTGGTCCTGTGGACCGGTTGGACCAACCGGCCAGTTGGTCCTGTGGACCGGTTGGACCAACCGGCCAGTTGGTCCTGTGGACCGGTTGGACCAACCGGCCAGTTGGTCCTGTGGACCGGTTGGACCAACCGGCCAGTTGGTCCTGTGGACCGGTTGGACCAACCGGCCAGTTGGTCCTGTGGACCGGTTGGACCAACCGGCCAGTTGGTCCTGTGGACCGGTTGGACCAACCGGCCAGTTGGTCCTGTGGACCGGTTGGACCAACCGGCCAGTTGGTCCTGTGGACCGGTTGGACCAACCGGCCAGTTGGTCCTGTGGACCGGTTGGACCAACCGGCCAGTTGGTCCTGTGGACCGGTTGGACCAACCGGCCAGTTGGTCCTGTGGACCGGTTGGACCAACCGGCCAGTTGGTCCTGTGGACCGGTTGGACCAACCGGCCAGTTGGTCCTGTGGACCGGTTGGACCAACCGGCCAGTTGGTCCTGTGGACCGGTTGGACCAACCGGCCAGTTGGTCCTGTGGACCGGTTGGACCAACCGGCCAGTTGGTCCTGTGGACCGGTTGGACCAACCGGCCAGTTGGTCCTGTGGACCGGTTGGACCAACCGGCCAGTTGGTCCTGTGGACCGGTTGGACCAACCGGCCAGTTGGTCCTGTGGACCGGTTGGACCAACCGGCCAGTTGGTCCTGTGGACCGGTTGGACCAACCGGCCAGTTGGTCCTGTGGACCGGTTGGACCAACCGGCCAGTTGGTCCTGTGGACCGGTTGGACCAACCGGCCAGTTGGTCCTGTGGACCGGTTGGACCAACCGGCCAGTTGGTCCTGTGGACCGGTTGGACCAACCGGCCAGTTGGTCCTGTGGACCGGTTGGACCAACCGGCCAGTTGGTCCTGTGGACCGGTTGGACCAACCGGCCAGTTGGTCCTGTGGACCGGTTGGACCAACCGGCCAGTTGGTCCTGTGGACCGGTTGGACCAACCGGCCAGTTGGTCCTGTGGACCGGTTGGACCAACCGGCCAGTTGGTCCTGTGGACCGGTTGGACCAACCGGCCAGTTGGTCCTGTGGACCGGTTGGACCAACCGGCCAGTTGGTCCTGTGGACCGGTTGGACCAACCGGCCAGTTGGTCCTGTGGACCGGTTGGACCAACCGGCCAGTTGGTCCTGTGGACCGGTTGGACCAACCGGCCAGTTGGTCCTGTGGACCGGTTGGACCAACCGGCCAGTTGGTCCTGTGGACCGGTTGGACCAACCGGCCAGTTGGTCCTGTGGACCGGTTGGACCAACCGGCCAGTTGGTCCTGTGGACCGGTTGGACCAACCGGCCAGTTGGTCCTGTGGACCGGTTGGACCAACCGGCCAGTTGGTCCTGTGGACCGGTTGGACCAACCGGCCAGTTGGTCCTGTGGACCGGTTGGACCAACCGGCCAGTTGGTCCTGTGGACCGGTTGGACCAACCGGCCAGTTGGTCCTGTGGACCGGTTGGACCAACCGGCCAGTTGGTCCTGTGGACCGGTTGGACCAACCGGCCAGTTGGTCCTGTGGACCGGTTGGACCAACCGGCCAGTTGGTCCTGTGGACCGGTTGGACCAACCGGCCAGTTGGTCCTGTGGACCGGTTGGACCAACCGGCCAGTTGGTCCTGTGGACCGGTTGGACCAACCGGCCAGTTGGTCCTGTGGACCGGTTGGACCAACCGGCCAGTTGGTCCTGTGGACCGGTTGGACCAACCGGCCAGTTGGTCCTGTGGACCGGTTGGACCAACCGGCCAGTTGGTCCTGTGGACCGGTTGGACCAACCGGCCAGTTGGTCCTGTGGACCGGTTGGACCAACCGGCCAGTTGGTCCTGTGGACCGGTTGGACCAACCGGCCAGTTGGTCCTGTGGACCGGTTGGACCAACCGGCCAGTTGGTCCTGTGGACCGGTTGGACCAACCGGCCAGTTGGTCCTGTGGACCGGTTGGACCAACCGGCCAGTTGGTCCTGTGGACCGGTTGGACCAACCGGCCAGTTGGTCCTGTGGACCGGTTGGACCAACCGGCCAGTTGGTCCTGTGGACCGGTTGGACCAACCGGCCAGTTGGTCCTGTGGACCGGTTGGACCAACCGGCCAGTTGGTCCTGTGGACCGGTTGGACCAACCGGCCAGTTGGTCCTGTGGACCGGTTGGACCAACCGGCCAGTTGGTCCTGTGGACCGGTTGGACCAACCGGCCAGTTGGTCCTGTGGACCGGTTGGACCAACCGGCCAGTTGGTCCTGTGGACCGGTTGGACCAACCGGCCAGTTGGTCCTGTGGACCGGTTGGACCAACCGGCCAGTTGGTCCTGTGGACCGGTTGGACCAACCGGCCAGTTGGTCCTGTGGACCGGTTGGACCAACCGGCCAGTTGGTCCTGTGGACCGGTTGGACCAACCGGCCAGTTGGTCCTGTGGACCGGTTGGACCAACCGGCCAGTTGGTCCTGTGGACCGGTTGGACCAACCGGCCAGTTGGTCCTGTGGACCGGTTGGACCAACCGGCCAGTTGGTCCTGTGGACCGGTTGGACCAACCGGCCAGTTGGTCCTGTGGACCGGTTGGACCAACCGGCCAGTTGGTCCTGTGGACCGGTTGGACCAACCGGCCAGTTGGTCCTGTGGACCGGTTGGACCAACCGGCCAGTTGGTCCTGTGGACCGGTTGGACCAACCGGCCAGTTGGTCCTGTGGACCGGTTGGACCAACCGGCCAGTTGGTCCTGTGGACCGGTTGGACCAACCGGCCAGTTGGTCCTGTGGACCGGTTGGACCAACCGGCCAGTTGGTCCTGTGGACCGGTTGGACCAACCGGCCAGTTGGTCCTGTGGACCGGTTGGACCAACCGGCCAGTTGGTCCTGTGGACCGGTTGGACCAACCGGCCAGTTGGTCCTGTGGACCGGTTGGACCAACCGGCCAGTTGGTCCTGTGGACCGGTTGGACCAACCGGCCAGTTGGTCCTGTGGACCGGTTGGACCAACCGGCCAGTTGGTCCTGTGGACCGGTTGGACCAACCGGCCAGTTGGTCCTGTGGACCGGTTGGACCAACCGGCCAGTTGGTCCTGTGGACCGGTTGGACCAACCGGCCAGTTGGTCCTGTGGACCGGTTGGACCAACCGGCCAGTTGGTCCTGTGGACCGGTTGGACCAACCGGCCAGTTGGTCCTGTGGACCGGTTGGACCAACCGGCCAGTTGGTCCTGTGGACCGGTTGGACCAACCGGCCAGTTGGTCCTGTGGACCGGTTGGACCAACCGGCCAGTTGGTCCTGTGGACCGGTTGGACCAACCGGCCAGTTGGTCCTGTGGACCGGTTGGACCAACCGGCCAGTTGGTCCTGTGGACCGGTTGGACCAACCGGCCAGTTGGTCCTGTGGACCGGTTGGACCAACCGGCCAGTTGGTCCTGTGGACCGGTTGGACCAACCGGCCAGTTGGTCCTGTGGACCGGTTGGACCAACCGGCCAGTTGGTCCTGTGGACCGGTTGGACCAACCGGCCAGTTGGTCCTGTGGACCGGTTGGACCAACCGGCCAGTTGGTCCTGTGGACCGGTTGGACCAACCGGCCAGTTGGTCCTGTGGACCGGTTGGACCAACCGGCCAGTTGGTCCTGTGGACCGGTTGGACCAACCGGCCAGTTGGTCCTGTGGACCGGTTGGACCAACCGGCCAGTTGGTCCTGTGGACCGGTTGGACCAACCGGCCAGTTGGTCCTGTGGACCGGTTGGACCAACCGGCCAGTTGGTCCTGTGGACCGGTTGGACCAACCGGCCAGTTGGTCCTGTGGACCGGTTGGACCAACCGGCCAGTTGGTCCTGTGGACCGGTTGGACCAACCGGCCAGTTGGTCCTGTGGACCGGTTGGACCAACCGGCCAGTTGGTCCTGTGGACCGGTTGGACCAACCGGCCAGTTGGTCCTGTGGACCGGTTGGACCAACCGGCCAGTTGGTCCTGTGGACCGGTTGGACCAACCGGCCAGTTGGTCCTGTGGACCGGTTGGACCAACCGGCCAGTTGGTCCTGTGGACCGGTTGGACCAACCGGCCAGTTGGTCCTGTGGACCGGTTGGACCAACCGGCCAGTTGGTCCTGTGGACCGGTTGGACCAACCGGCCAGTTGGTCCTGTGGACCGGTTGGACCAACCGGCCAGTTGGTCCTGTGGACCGGTTGGACCAACCGGCCAGTTGGTCCTGTGGACCGGTTGGACCAACCGGCCAGTTGGTCCTGTGGACCGGTTGGACCAACCGGCCAGTTGGTCCTGTGGACCGGTTGGACCAACCGGCCAGTTGGTCCTGTGGACCGGTTGGACCAACCGGCCAGTTGGTCCTGTGGACCGGTTGGACCAACCGGCCAGTTGGTCCTGTGGACCGGTTGGACCAACCGGCCAGTTGGTCCTGTGGACCGGTTGGACCAACCGGCCAGTTGGTCCTGTGGACCGGTTGGACCAACCGGCCAGTTGGTCCTGTGGACCGGTTGGACCAACCGGCCAGTTGGTCCTGTGGACCGGTTGGACCAACCGGCCAGTTGGTCCTGTGGACCGGTTGGACCAACCGGCCAGTTGGTCCTGTGGACCGGTTGGACCAACCGGCCAGTTGGTCCTGTGGACCGGTTGGACCAACCGGCCAGTTGGTCCTGTGGACCGGTTGGACCAACCGGCCAGTTGGTCCTGTGGACCGGTTGGACCAACCGGCCAGTTGGTCCTGTGGACCGGTTGGACCAACCGGCCAGTTGGTCCTGTGGACCGGTTGGACCAACCGGCCAGTTGGTCCTGTGGACCGGTTGGACCAACCGGCCAGTTGGTCCTGTGGACCGGTTGGACCAACCGGCCAGTTGGTCCTGTGGACCGGTTGGACCAACCGGCCAGTTGGTCCTGTGGACCGGTTGGACCAACCGGCCAGTTGGTCCTGTGGACCGGTTGGACCAACCGGCCAGTTGGTCCTGTGGACCGGTTGGACCAACCGGCCAGTTGGTCCTGTGGACCGGTTGGACCAACCGGCCAGTTGGTCCTGTGGACCGGTTGGACCAACCGGCCAGTTGGTCCTGTGGACCGGTTGGACCAACCGGCCAGTTGGTCCTGTGGACCGGTTGGACCAACCGGCCAGTTGGTCCTGTGGACCGGTTGGACCAACCGGCCAGTTGGTCCTGTGGACCGGTTGGACCAACCGGCCAGTTGGTCCTGTGGACCGGTTGGACCAACCGGCCAGTTGGTCCTGTGGACCGGTTGGACCAACCGGCCAGTTGGTCCTGTGGACCGGTTGGACCAACCGGCCAGTTGGTCCTGTGGACCGGTTGGACCAACCGGCCAGTTGGTCCTGTGGACCGGTTGGACCAACCGGCCAGTTGGTCCTGTGGACCGGTTGGACCAACCGGCCAGTTGGTCCTGTGGACCGGTTGGACCAACCGGCCAGTTGGTCCTGTGGACCGGTTGGACCAACCGGCCAGTTGGTCCTGTGGACCGGTTGGACCAACCGGCCAGTTGGTCCTGTGGACCGGTTGGACCAACCGGCCAGTTGGTCCTGTGGACCGGTTGGACCAACCGGCCAGTTGGTCCTGTGGACCGGTTGGACCAACCGGCCAGTTGGTCCTGTGGACCGGTTGGACCAACCGGCCAGTTGGTCCTGTGGACCGGTTGGACCAACCGGCCAGTTGGTCCTGTGGACCGGTTGGACCAACCGGCCAGTTGGTCCTGTGGACCGGTTGGACCAACCGGCCAGTTGGTCCTGTGGACCGGTTGGACCAACCGGCCAGTTGGTCCTGTGGACCGGTTGGACCAACCGGCCAGTTGGTCCTGTGGACCGGTTGGACCAACCGGCCAGTTGGTCCTGTGGACCGGTTGGACCAACCGGCCAGTTGGTCCTGTGGACCGGTTGGACCAACCGGCCAGTTGGTCCTGTGGACCGGTTGGACCAACCGGCCAGTTGGTCCTGTGGACCGGTTGGACCAACCGGCCAGTTGGTCCTGTGGACCGGTTGGACCAACCGGCCAGTTGGTCCTGTGGACCGGTTGGACCAACCGGCCAGTTGGTCCTGTGGACCGGTTGGACCAACCGGCCAGTTGGTCCTGTGGACCGGTTGGACCAACCGGCCAGTTGGTCCTGTGGACCGGTTGGACCAACCGGCCAGTTGGTCCTGTGGACCGGTTGGACCAACCGGCCAGTTGGTCCTGTGGACCGGTTGGACCAACCGGCCAGTTGGTCCTGTGGACCGGTTGGACCAACCGGCCAGTTGGTCCTGTGGACCGGTTGGACCAACCGGCCAGTTGGTCCTGTGGACCGGTTGGACCAACCGGCCAGTTGGTCCTGTGGACCGGTTGGACCAACCGGCCAGTTGGTCCTGTGGACCGGTTGGACCAACCGGCCAGTTGGTCCTGTGGACCGGTTGGACCAACCGGCCAGTTGGTCCTGTGGACCGGTTGGACCAACCGGCCAGTTGGTCCTGTGGACCGGTTGGACCAACCGGCCAGTTGGTCCTGTGGACCGGTTGGACCAACCGGCCAGTTGGTCCTGTGGACCGGTTGGACCAACCGGCCAGTTGGTCCTGTGGACCGGTTGGACCAACCGGCCAGTTGGTCCTGTGGACCGGTTGGACCAACCGGCCAGTTGGTCCTGTGGACCGGTTGGACCAACCGGCCAGTTGGTCCTGTGGACCGGTTGGACCAACCGGCCAGTTGGTCCTGTGGACCGGTTGGACCAACCGGCCAGTTGGTCCTGTGGACCGGTTGGACCAACCGGCCAGTTGGTCCTGTGGACCGGTTGGACCAACCGGCCAGTTGGTCCTGTGGACCGGTTGGACCAACCGGCCAGTTGGTCCTGTGGACCGGTTGGACCAACCGGCCAGTTGGTCCTGTGGACCGGTTGGACCAACCGGCCAGTTGGTCCTGTGGACCGGTTGGACCAACCGGCCAGTTGGTCCTGTGGACCGGTTGGACCAACCGGCCAGTTGGTCCTGTGGACCGGTTGGACCAACCGGCCAGTTGGTCCTGTGGACCGGTTGGACCAACCGGCCAGTTGGTCCTGTGGACCGGTTGGACCAACCGGCCAGTTGGTCCTGTGGACCGGTTGGACCAACCGGCCAGTTGGTCCTGTGGACCGGTTGGACCAACCGGCCAGTTGGTCCTGTGGACCGGTTGGACCAACCGGCCAGTTGGTCCTGTGGACCGGTTGGACCAACCGGCCAGTTGGTCCTGTGGACCGGTTGGACCAACCGGCCAGTTGGTCCTGTGGACCGGTTGGACCAACCGGCCAGTTGGTCCTGTGGACCGGTTGGACCAACCGGCCAGTTGGTCCTGTGGACCGGTTGGACCAACCGGCCAGTTGGTCCTGTGGACCGGTTGGACCAACCGGCCAGTTGGTCCTGTGGACCGGTTGGACCAACCGGCCAGTTGGTCCTGTGGACCGGTTGGACCAACCGGCCAGTTGGTCCTGTGGACCGGTTGGACCAACCGGCCAGTTGGTCCTGTGGACCGGTTGGACCAACCGGCCAGTTGGTCCTGTGGACCGGTTGGACCAACCGGCCAGTTGGTCCTGTGGACCGGTTGGACCAACCGGCCAGTTGGTCCTGTGGACCGGTTGGACCAACCGGCCAGTTGGTCCTGTGGACCGGTTGGACCAACCGGCCAGTTGGTCCTGTGGACCGGTTGGACCAACCGGCCAGTTGGTCCTGTGGACCGGTTGGACCAACCGGCCAGTTGGTCCTGTGGACCGGTTGGACCAACCGGCCAGTTGGTCCTGTGGACCGGTTGGACCAACCGGCCAGTTGGTCCTGTGGACCGGTTGGACCAACCGGCCAGTTGGTCCTGTGGACCGGTTGGACCAACCGGCCAGTTGGTCCTGTGGACCGGTTGGACCAACCGGCCAGTTGGTCCTGTGGACCGGTTGGACCAACCGGCCAGTTGGTCCTGTGGACCGGTTGGACCAACCGGCCAGTTGGTCCTGTGGACCGGTTGGACCAACCGGCCAGTTGGTCCTGTGGACCGGTTGGACCAACCGGCCAGTTGGTCCTGTGGACCGGTTGGACCAACCGGCCAGTTGGTCCTGTGGACCGGTTGGACCAACCGGCCAGTTGGTCCTGTGGACCGGTTGGACCAACCGGCCAGTTGGTCCTGTGGACCGGTTGGACCAACCGGCCAGTTGGTCCTGTGGACCGGTTGGACCAACCGGCCAGTTGGTCCTGTGGACCGGTTGGACCAACCGGCCAGTTGGTCCTGTGGACCGGTTGGACCAACCGGCCAGTTGGTCCTGTGGACCGGTTGGACCAACCGGCCAGTTGGTCCTGTGGACCGGTTGGACCAACCGGCCAGTTGGTCCTGTGGACCGGTTGGACCAACCGGCCAGTTGGTCCTGTGGACCGGTTGGACCAACCGGCCAGTTGGTCCTGTGGACCGGTTGGACCAACCGGCCAGTTGGTCCTGTGGACCGGTTGGACCAACCGGCCAGTTGGTCCTGTGGACCGGTTGGACCAACCGGCCAGTTGGTCCTGTGGACCGGTTGGACCAACCGGCCAGTTGGTCCTGTGGACCGGTTGGACCAACCGGCCAGTTGGTCCTGTGGACCGGTTGGACCAACCGGCCAGTTGGTCCTGTGGACCGGTTGGACCAACCGGCCAGTTGGTCCTGTGGACCGGTTGGACCAACCGGCCAGTTGGTCCTGTGGACCGGTTGGACCAACCGGCCAGTTGGTCCTGTGGACCGGTTGGACCAACCGGCCAGTTGGTCCTGTGGACCGGTTGGACCAACCGGCCAGTTGGTCCTGTGGACCGGTTGGACCAACCGGCCAGTTGGTCCTGTGGACCGGTTGGACCAACCGGCCAGTTGGTCCTGTGGACCGGTTGGACCAACCGGCCAGTTGGTCCTGTGGACCGGTTGGACCAACCGGCCAGTTGGTCCTGTGGACCGGTTGGACCAACCGGCCAGTTGGTCCTGTGGACCGGTTGGACCAACCGGCCAGTTGGTCCTGTGGACCGGTTGGACCAACCGGCCAGTTGGTCCTGTGGACCGGTTGGACCAACCGGCCAGTTGGTCCTGTGGACCGGTTGGACCAACCGGCCAGTTGGTCCTGTGGACCGGTTGGACCAACCGGCCAGTTGGTCCTGTGGACCGGTTGGACCAACCGGCCAGTTGGTCCTGTGGACCGGTTGGACCAACCGGCCAGTTGGTCCTGTGGACCGGTTGGACCAACCGGCCAGTTGGTCCTGTGGACCGGTTGGACCAACCGGCCAGTTGGTCCTGTGGACCGGTTGGACCAACCGGCCAGTTGGTCCTGTGGACCGGTTGGACCAACCGGCCAGTTGGTCCTGTGGACCGGTTGGACCAACCGGCCAGTTGGTCCTGTGGACCGGTTGGACCAACCGGCCAGTTGGTCCTGTGGACCGGTTGGACCAACCGGCCAGTTGGTCCTGTGGACCGGTTGGACCAACCGGCCAGTTGGTCCTGTGGACCGGTTGGACCAACCGGCCAGTTGGTCCTGTGGACCGGTTGGACCAACCGGCCAGTTGGTCCTGTGGACCGGTTGGACCAACCGGCCAGTTGGTCCTGTGGACCGGTTGGACCAACCGGCCAGTTGGTCCTGTGGACCGGTTGGACCAACCGGCCAGTTGGTCCTGTGGACCGGTTGGACCAACCGGCCAGTTGGTCCTGTGGACCGGTTGGACCAACCGGCCAGTTGGTCCTGTGGACCGGTTGGACCAACCGGCCAGTTGGTCCTGTGGACCGGTTGGACCAACCGGCCAGTTGGTCCTGTGGACCGGTTGGACCAACCGGCCAGTTGGTCCTGTGGACCGGTTGGACCAACCGGCCAGTTGGTCCTGTGGACCGGTTGGACCAACCGGCCAGTTGGTCCTGTGGACCGGTTGGACCAACCGGCCAGTTGGTCCTGTGGACCGGTTGGACCAACCGGCCAGTTGGTCCTGTGGACCGGTTGGACCAACCGGCCAGTTGGTCCTGTGGACCGGTTGGACCAACCGGCCAGTTGGTCCTGTGGACCGGTTGGACCAACCGGCCAGTTGGTCCTGTGGACCGGTTGGACCAACCGGCCAGTTGGTCCTGTGGACCGGTTGGACCAACCGGCCAGTTGGTCCTGTGGACCGGTTGGACCAACCGGCCAGTTGGTCCTGTGGACCGGTTGGACCAACCGGCCAGTTGGTCCTGTGGACCGGTTGGACCAACCGGCCAGTTGGTCCTGTGGACCGGTTGGACCAACCGGCCAGTTGGTCCTGTGGACCGGTTGGACCAACCGGCCAGTTGGTCCTGTGGACCGGTTGGACCAACCGGCCAGTTGGTCCTGTGGACCGGTTGGACCAACCGGCCAGTTGGTCCTGTGGACCGGTTGGACCAACCGGCCAGTTGGTCCTGTGGACCGGTTGGACCAACCGGCCAGTTGGTCCTGTGGACCGGTTGGACCAACCGGCCAGTTGGTCCTGTGGACCGGTTGGACCAACCGGCCAGTTGGTCCTGTGGACCGGTTGGACCAACCGGCCAGTTGGTCCTGTGGACCGGTTGGACCAACCGGCCAGTTGGTCCTGTGGACCGGTTGGACCAACCGGCCAGTTGGTCCTGTGGACCGGTTGGACCAACCGGCCAGTTGGTCCTGTGGACCGGTTGGACCAACCGGCCAGTTGGTCCTGTGGACCGGTTGGACCAACCGGCCAGTTGGTCCTGTGGACCGGTTGGACCAACCGGCCAGTTGGTCCTGTGGACCGGTTGGACCAACCGGCCAGTTGGTCCTGTGGACCGGTTGGACCAACCGGCCAGTTGGTCCTGTGGACCGGTTGGACCAACCGGCCAGTTGGTCCTGTGGACCGGTTGGACCAACCGGCCAGTTGGTCCTGTGGACCGGTTGGACCAACCGGCCAGTTGGTCCTGTGGACCGGTTGGACCAACCGGCCAGTTGGTCCTGTGGACCGGTTGGACCAACCGGCCAGTTGGTCCTGTGGACCGGTTGGACCAACCGGCCAGTTGGTCCTGTGGACCGGTTGGACCAACCGGCCAGTTGGTCCTGTGGACCGGTTGGACCAACCGGCCAGTTGGTCCTGTGGACCGGTTGGACCAACCGGCCAGTTGGTCCTGTGGACCGGTTGGACCAACCGGCCAGTTGGTCCTGTGGACCGGTTGGACCAACCGGCCAGTTGGTCCTGTGGACCGGTTGGACCAACCGGCCAGTTGGTCCTGTGGACCGGTTGGACCAACCGGCCAGTTGGTCCTGTGGACCGGTTGGACCAACCGGCCAGTTGGTCCTGTGGACCGGTTGGACCAACCGGCCAGTTGGTCCTGTGGACCGGTTGGACCAACCGGCCAGTTGGTCCTGTGGACCGGTTGGACCAACCGGCCAGTTGGTCCTGTGGACCGGTTGGACCAACCGGCCAGTTGGTCCTGTGGACCGGTTGGACCAACCGGCCAGTTGGTCCTGTGGACCGGTTGGACCAACCGGCCAGTTGGTCCTGTGGACCGGTTGGACCAACCGGCCAGTTGGTCCTGTGGACCGGTTGGACCAACCGGCCAGTTGGTCCTGTGGACCGGTTGGACCAACCGGCCAGTTGGTCCTGTGGACCGGTTGGACCAACCGGCCAGTTGGTCCTGTGGACCGGTTGGACCAACCGGCCAGTTGGTCCTGTGGACCGGTTGGACCAACCGGCCAGTTGGTCCTGTGGACCGGTTGGACCAACCGGCCAGTTGGTCCTGTGGACCGGTTGGACCAACCGGCCAGTTGGTCCTGTGGACCGGTTGGACCAACCGGCCAGTTGGTCCTGTGGACCGGTTGGACCAACCGGCCAGTTGGTCCTGTGGACCGGTTGGACCAACCGGCCAGTTGGTCCTGTGGACCGGTTGGACCAACCGGCCAGTTGGTCCTGTGGACCGGTTGGACCAACCGGCCAGTTGGTCCTGTGGACCGGTTGGACCAACCGGCCAGTTGGTCCTGTGGACCGGTTGGACCAACCGGCCAGTTGGTCCTGTGGACCGGTTGGACCAACCGGCCAGTTGGTCCTGTGGACCGGTTGGACCAACCGGCCAGTTGGTCCTGTGGACCGGTTGGACCAACCGGCCAGTTGGTCCTGTGGACCGGTTGGACCAACCGGCCAGTTGGTCCTGTGGACCGGTTGGACCAACCGGCCAGTTGGTCCTGTGGACCGGTTGGACCAACCGGCCAGTTGGTCCTGTGGACCGGTTGGACCAACCGGCCAGTTGGTCCTGTGGACCGGTTGGACCAACCGGCCAGTTGGTCCTGTGGACCGGTTGGACCAACCGGCCAGTTGGTCCTGTGGACCGGTTGGACCAACCGGCCAGTTGGTCCTGTGGACCGGTTGGACCAACCGGCCAGTTGGTCCTGTGGACCGGTTGGACCAACCGGCCAGTTGGTCCTGTGGACCGGTTGGACCAACCGGCCAGTTGGTCCTGTGGACCGGTTGGACCAACCGGCCAGTTGGTCCTGTGGACCGGTTGGACCAACCGGCCAGTTGGTCCTGTGGACCGGTTGGACCAACCGGCCAGTTGGTCCTGTGGACCGGTTGGACCAACCGGCCAGTTGGTCCTGTGGACCGGTTGGACCAACCGGCCAGTTGGTCCTGTGGACCGGTTGGACCAACCGGCCAGTTGGTCCTGTGGACCGGTTGGACCAACCGGCCAGTTGGTCCTGTGGACCGGTTGGACCAACCGGCCAGTTGGTCCTGTGGACCGGTTGGACCAACCGGCCAGTTGGTCCTGTGGACCGGTTGGACCAACCGGCCAGTTGGTCCTGTGGACCGGTTGGACCAACCGGCCAGTTGGTCCTGTGGACCGGTTGGACCAACCGGCCAGTTGGTCCTGTGGACCGGTTGGACCAACCGGCCAGTTGGTCCTGTGGACCGGTTGGACCAACCGGCCAGTTGGTCCTGTGGACCGGTTGGACCAACCGGCCAGTTGGTCCTGTGGACCGGTTGGACCAACCGGCCAGTTGGTCCTGTGGACCGGTTGGACCAACCGGCCAGTTGGTCCTGTGGACCGGTTGGACCAACCGGCCAGTTGGTCCTGTGGACCGGTTGGACCAACCGGCCAGTTGGTCCTGTGGACCGGTTGGACCAACCGGCCAGTTGGTCCTGTGGACCGGTTGGACCAACCGGCCAGTTGGTCCTGTGGACCGGTTGGACCAACCGGCCAGTTGGTCCTGTGGACCGGTTGGACCAACCGGCCAGTTGGTCCTGTGGACCGGTTGGACCAACCGGCCAGTTGGTCCTGTGGACCGGTTGGACCAACCGGCCAGTTGGTCCTGTGGACCGGTTGGACCAACCGGCCAGTTGGTCCTGTGGACCGGTTGGACCAACCGGCCAGTTGGTCCTGTGGACCGGTTGGACCAACCGGCCAGTTGGTCCTGTGGACCGGTTGGACCAACCGGCCAGTTGGTCCTGTGGACCGGTTGGACCAACCGGCCAGTTGGTCCTGTGGACCGGTTGGACCAACCGGCCAGTTGGTCCTGTGGACCGGTTGGACCAACCGGCCAGTTGGTCCTGTGGACCGGTTGGACCAACCGGCCAGTTGGTCCTGTGGACCGGTTGGACCAACCGGCCAGTTGGTCCTGTGGACCGGTTGGACCAACCGGCCAGTTGGTCCTGTGGACCGGTTGGACCAACCGGCCAGTTGGTCCTGTGGACCGGTTGGACCAACCGGCCAGTTGGTCCTGTGGACCGGTTGGACCAACCGGCCAGTTGGTCCTGTGGACCGGTTGGACCAACCGGCCAGTTGGTCCTGTGGACCGGTTGGACCAACCGGCCAGTTGGTCCTGTGGACCGGTTGGACCAACCGGCCAGTTGGTCCTGTGGACCGGTTGGACCAACCGGCCAGTTGGTCCTGTGGACCGGTTGGACCAACCGGCCAGTTGGTCCTGTGGACCGGTTGGACCAACCGGCCAGTTGGTCCTGTGGACCGGTTGGACCAACCGGCCAGTTGGTCCTGTGGACCGGTTGGACCAACCGGCCAGTTGGTCCTGTGGACCGGTTGGACCAACCGGCCAGTTGGTCCTGTGGACCGGTTGGACCAACCGGCCAGTTGGTCCTGTGGACCGGTTGGACCAACCGGCCAGTTGGTCCTGTGGACCGGTTGGACCAACCGGCCAGTTGGTCCTGTGGACCGGTTGGACCAACCGGCCAGTTGGTCCTGTGGACCGGTTGGACCAACCGGCCAGTTGGTCCTGTGGACCGGTTGGACCAACCGGCCAGTTGGTCCTGTGGACCGGTTGGACCAACCGGCCAGTTGGTCCTGTGGACCGGTTGGACCAACCGGCCAGTTGGTCCTGTGGACCGGTTGGACCAACCGGCCAGTTGGTCCTGTGGACCGGTTGGACCAACCGGCCAGTTGGTCCTGTGGACCGGTTGGACCAACCGGCCAGTTGGTCCTGTGGACCGGTTGGACCAACCGGCCAGTTGGTCCTGTGGACCGGTTGGACCAACCGGCCAGTTGGTCCTGTGGACCGGTTGGACCAACCGGCCAGTTGGTCCTGTGGACCGGTTGGACCAACCGGCCAGTTGGTCCTGTGGACCGGTTGGACCAACCGGCCAGTTGGTCCTGTGGACCGGTTGGACCAACCGGCCAGTTGGTCCTGTGGACCGGTTGGACCAACCGGCCAGTTGGTCCTGTGGACCGGTTGGACCAACCGGCCAGTTGGTCCTGTGGACCGGTTGGACCAACCGGCCAGTTGGTCCTGTGGACCGGTTGGACCAACCGGCCAGTTGGTCCTGTGGACCGGTTGGACCAACCGGCCAGTTGGTCCTGTGGACCGGTTGGACCAACCGGCCAGTTGGTCCTGTGGACCGGTTGGACCAACCGGCCAGTTGGTCCTGTGGACCGGTTGGACCAACCGGCCAGTTGGTCCTGTGGACCGGTTGGACCAACCGGCCAGTTGGTCCTGTGGACCGGTTGGACCAACCGGCCAGTTGGTCCTGTGGACCGGTTGGACCAACCGGCCAGTTGGTCCTGTGGACCGGTTGGACCAACCGGCCAGTTGGTCCTGTGGACCGGTTGGACCAACCGGCCAGTTGGTCCTGTGGACCGGTTGGACCAACCGGCCAGTTGGTCCTGTGGACCGGTTGGACCAACCGGCCAGTTGGTCCTGTGGACCGGTTGGACCAACCGGCCAGTTGGTCCTGTGGACCGGTTGGACCAACCGGCCAGTTGGTCCTGTGGACCGGTTGGACCAACCGGCCAGTTGGTCCTGTGGACCGGTTGGACCAACCGGCCAGTTGGTCCTGTGGACCGGTTGGACCAACCGGCCAGTTGGTCCTGTGGACCGGTTGGACCAACCGGCCAGTTGGTCCTGTGGACCGGTTGGACCAACCGGCCAGTTGGTCCTGTGGACCGGTTGGACCAACCGGCCAGTTGGTCCTGTGGACCGGTTGGACCAACCGGCCAGTTGGTCCTGTGGACCGGTTGGACCAACCGGCCAGTTGGTCCTGTGGACCGGTTGGACCAACCGGCCAGTTGGTCCTGTGGACCGGTTGGACCAACCGGCCAGTTGGTCCTGTGGACCGGTTGGACCAACCGGCCAGTTGGTCCTGTGGACCGGTTGGACCAACCGGCCAGTTGGTCCTGTGGACCGGTTGGACCAACCGGCCAGTTGGTCCTGTGGACCGGTTGGACCAACCGGCCAGTTGGTCCTGTGGACCGGTTGGACCAACCGGCCAGTTGGTCCTGTGGACCGGTTGGACCAACCGGCCAGTTGGTCCTGTGGACCGGTTGGACCAACCGGCCAGTTGGTCCTGTGGACCGGTTGGACCAACCGGCCAGTTGGTCCTGTGGACCGGTTGGACCAACCGGCCAGTTGGTCCTGTGGACCGGTTGGACCAACCGGCCAGTTGGTCCTGTGGACCGGTTGGACCAACCGGCCAGTTGGTCCTGTGGACCGGTTGGACCAACCGGCCAGTTGGTCCTGTGGACCGGTTGGACCAACCGGCCAGTTGGTCCTGTGGACCGGTTGGACCAACCGGCCAGTTGGTCCTGTGGACCGGTTGGACCAACCGGCCAGTTGGTCCTGTGGACCGGTTGGACCAACCGGCCAGTTGGTCCTGTGGACCGGTTGGACCAACCGGCCAGTTGGTCCTGTGGACCGGTTGGACCAACCGGCCAGTTGGTCCTGTGGACCGGTTGGACCAACCGGCCAGTTGGTCCTGTGGACCGGTTGGACCAACCGGCCAGTTGGTCCTGTGGACCGGTTGGACCAACCGGCCAGTTGGTCCTGTGGACCGGTTGGACCAACCGGCCAGTTGGTCCTGTGGACCGGTTGGACCAACCGGCCAGTTGGTCCTGTGGACCGGTTGGACCAACCGGCCAGTTGGTCCTGTGGACCGGTTGGACCAACCGGCCAGTTGGTCCTGTGGACCGGTTGGACCAACCGGCCAGTTGGTCCTGTGGACCGGTTGGACCAACCGGCCAGTTGGTCCTGTGGACCGGTTGGACCAACCGGCCAGTTGGTCCTGTGGACCGGTTGGACCAACCGGCCAGTTGGTCCTGTGGACCGGTTGGACCAACCGGCCAGTTGGTCCTGTGGACCGGTTGGACCAACCGGCCAGTTGGTCCTGTGGACCGGTTGGACCAACCGGCCAGTTGGTCCTGTGGACCGGTTGGACCAACCGGCCAGTTGGTCCTGTGGACCGGTTGGACCAACCGGCCAGTTGGTCCTGTGGACCGGTTGGACCAACCGGCCAGTTGGTCCTGTGGACCGGTTGGACCAACCGGCCAGTTGGTCCTGTGGACCGGTTGGACCAACCGGCCAGTTGGTCCTGTGGACCGGTTGGACCAACCGGCCAGTTGGTCCTGTGGACCGGTTGGACCAACCGGCCAGTTGGTCCTGTGGACCGGTTGGACCAACCGGCCAGTTGGTCCTGTGGACCGGTTGGACCAACCGGCCAGTTGGTCCTGTGGACCGGTTGGACCAACCGGCCAGTTGGTCCTGTGGACCGGTTGGACCAACCGGCCAGTTGGTCCTGTGGACCGGTTGGACCAACCGGCCAGTTGGTCCTGTGGACCGGTTGGACCAACCGGCCAGTTGGTCCTGTGGACCGGTTGGACCAACCGGCCAGTTGGTCCTGTGGACCGGTTGGACCAACCGGCCAGTTGGTCCTGTGGACCGGTTGGACCAACCGGCCAGTTGGTCCTGTGGACCGGTTGGACCAACCGGCCAGTTGGTCCTGTGGACCGGTTGGACCAACCGGCCAGTTGGTCCTGTGGACCGGTTGGACCAACCGGCCAGTTGGTCCTGTGGACCGGTTGGACCAACCGGCCAGTTGGTCCTGTGGACCGGTTGGACCAACCGGCCAGTTGGTCCTGTGGACCGGTTGGACCAACCGGCCAGTTGGTCCTGTGGACCGGTTGGACCAACCGGCCAGTTGGTCCTGTGGACCGGTTGGACCAACCGGCCAGTTGGTCCTGTGGACCGGTTGGACCAACCGGCCAGTTGGTCCTGTGGACCGGTTGGACCAACCGGCCAGTTGGTCCTGTGGACCGGTTGGACCAACCGGCCAGTTGGTCCTGTGGACCGGTTGGACCAACCGGCCAGTTGGTCCTGTGGACCGGTTGGACCAACCGGCCAGTTGGTCCTGTGGACCGGTTGGACCAACCGGCCAGTTGGTCCTGTGGACCGGTTGGACCAACCGGCCAGTTGGTCCTGTGGACCGGTTGGACCAACCGGCCAGTTGGTCCTGTGGACCGGTTGGACCAACCGGCCAGTTGGTCCTGTGGACCGGTTGGACCAACCGGCCAGTTGGTCCTGTGGACCGGTTGGACCAACCGGCCAGTTGGTCCTGTGGACCGGTTGGACCAACCGGCCAGTTGGTCCTGTGGACCGGTTGGACCAACCGGCCAGTTGGTCCTGTGGACCGGTTGGACCAACCGGCCAGTTGGTCCTGTGGACCGGTTGGACCAACCGGCCAGTTGGTCCTGTGGACCGGTTGGACCAACCGGCCAGTTGGTCCTGTGGACCGGTTGGACCAACCGGCCAGTTGGTCCTGTGGACCGGTTGGACCAACCGGCCAGTTGGTCCTGTGGACCGGTTGGACCAACCGGCCAGTTGGTCCTGTGGACCGGTTGGACCAACCGGCCAGTTGGTCCTGTGGACCGGTTGGACCAACCGGCCAGTTGGTCCTGTGGACCGGTTGGACCAACCGGCCAGTTGGTCCTGTGGACCGGTTGGACCAACCGGCCAGTTGGTCCTGTGGACCGGTTGGACCAACCGGCCAGTTGGTCCTGTGGACCGGTTGGACCAACCGGCCAGTTGGTCCTGTGGACCGGTTGGACCAACCGGCCAGTTGGTCCTGTGGACCGGTTGGACCAACCGGCCAGTTGGTCCTGTGGACCGGTTGGACCAACCGGCCAGTTGGTCCTGTGGACCGGTTGGACCAACCGGCCAGTTGGTCCTGTGGACCGGTTGGACCAACCGGCCAGTTGGTCCTGTGGACCGGTTGGACCAACCGGCCAGTTGGTCCTGTGGACCGGTTGGACCAACCGGCCAGTTGGTCCTGTGGACCGGTTGGACCAACCGGCCAGTTGGTCCTGTGGACCGGTTGGACCAACCGGCCAGTTGGTCCTGTGGACCGGTTGGACCAACCGGCCAGTTGGTCCTGTGGACCGGTTGGACCAACCGGCCAGTTGGTCCTGTGGACCGGTTGGACCAACCGGCCAGTTGGTCCTGTGGACCGGTTGGACCAACCGGCCAGTTGGTCCTGTGGACCGGTTGGACCAACCGGCCAGTTGGTCCTGTGGACCGGTTGGACCAACCGGCCAGTTGGTCCTGTGGACCGGTTGGACCAACCGGCCAGTTGGTCCTGTGGACCGGTTGGACCAACCGGCCAGTTGGTCCTGTGGACCGGTTGGACCAACCGGCCAGTTGGTCCTGTGGACCGGTTGGACCAACCGGCCAGTTGGTCCTGTGGACCGGTTGGACCAACCGGCCAGTTGGTCCTGTGGACCGGTTGGACCAACCGGCCAGTTGGTCCTGTGGACCGGTTGGACCAACCGGCCAGTTGGTCCTGTGGACCGGTTGGACCAACCGGCCAGTTGGTCCTGTGGACCGGTTGGACCAACCGGCCAGTTGGTCCTGTGGACCGGTTGGACCAACCGGCCAGTTGGTCCTGTGGACCGGTTGGACCAACCGGCCAGTTGGTCCTGTGGACCGGTTGGACCAACCGGCCAGTTGGTCCTGTGGACCGGTTGGACCAACCGGCCAGTTGGTCCTGTGGACCGGTTGGACCAACCGGCCAGTTGGTCCTGTGGACCGGTTGGACCAACCGGCCAGTTGGTCCTGTGGACCGGTTGGACCAACCGGCCAGTTGGTCCTGTGGACCGGTTGGACCAACCGGCCAGTTGGTCCTGTGGACCGGTTGGACCAACCGGCCAGTTGGTCCTGTGGACCGGTTGGACCAACCGGCCAGTTGGTCCTGTGGACCGGTTGGACCAACCGGCCAGTTGGTCCTGTGGACCGGTTGGACCAACCGGCCAGTTGGTCCTGTGGACCGGTTGGACCAACCGGCCAGTTGGTCCTGTGGACCGGTTGGACCAACCGGCCAGTTGGTCCTGTGGACCGGTTGGACCAACCGGCCAGTTGGTCCTGTGGACCGGTTGGACCAACCGGCCAGTTGGTCCTGTGGACCGGTTGGACCAACCGGCCAGTTGGTCCTGTGGACCGGTTGGACCAACCGGCCAGTTGGTCCTGTGGACCGGTTGGACCAACCGGCCAGTTGGTCCTGTGGACCGGTTGGACCAACCGGCCAGTTGGTCCTGTGGACCGGTTGGACCAACCGGCCAGTTGGTCCTGTGGACCGGTTGGACCAACCGGCCAGTTGGTCCTGTGGACCGGTTGGACCAACCGGCCAGTTGGTCCTGTGGACCGGTTGGACCAACCGGCCAGTTGGTCCTGTGGACCGGTTGGACCAACCGGCCAGTTGGTCCTGTGGACCGGTTGGACCAACCGGCCAGTTGGTCCTGTGGACCGGTTGGACCAACCGGCCAGTTGGTCCTGTGGACCGGTTGGACCAACCGGCCAGTTGGTCCTGTGGACCGGTTGGACCAACCGGCCAGTTGGTCCTGTGGACCGGTTGGACCAACCGGCCAGTTGGTCCTGTGGACCGGTTGGACCAACCGGCCAGTTGGTCCTGTGGACCGGTTGGACCAACCGGCCAGTTGGTCCTGTGGACCGGTTGGACCAACCGGCCAGTTGGTCCTGTGGACCGGTTGGACCAACCGGCCAGTTGGTCCTGTGGACCGGTTGGACCAACCGGCCAGTTGGTCCTGTGGACCGGTTGGACCAACCGGCCAGTTGGTCCTGTGGACCGGTTGGACCAACCGGCCAGTTGGTCCTGTGGACCGGTTGGACCAACCGGCCAGTTGGTCCTGTGGACCGGTTGGACCAACCGGCCAGTTGGTCCTGTGGACCGGTTGGACCAACCGGCCAGTTGGTCCTGTGGACCGGTTGGACCAACCGGCCAGTTGGTCCTGTGGACCGGTTGGACCAACCGGCCAGTTGGTCCTGTGGACCGGTTGGACCAACCGGCCAGTTGGTCCTGTGGACCGGTTGGACCAACCGGCCAGTTGGTCCTGTGGACCGGTTGGACCAACCGGCCAGTTGGTCCTGTGGACCGGTTGGACCAACCGGCCAGTTGGTCCTGTGGACCGGTTGGACCAACCGGCCAGTTGGTCCTGTGGACCGGTTGGACCAACCGGCCAGTTGGTCCTGTGGACCGGTTGGACCAACCGGCCAGTTGGTCCTGTGGACCGGTTGGACCAACCGGCCAGTTGGTCCTGTGGACCGGTTGGACCAACCGGCCAGTTGGTCCTGTGGACCGGTTGGACCAACCGGCCAGTTGGTCCTGTGGACCGGTTGGACCAACCGGCCAGTTGGTCCTGTGGACCGGTTGGACCAACCGGCCAGTTGGTCCTGTGGACCGGTTGGACCAACCGGCCAGTTGGTCCTGTGGACCGGTTGGACCAACCGGCCAGTTGGTCCTGTGGACCGGTTGGACCAACCGGCCAGTTGGTCCTGTGGACCGGTTGGACCAACCGGCCAGTTGGTCCTGTGGACCGGTTGGACCAACCGGCCAGTTGGTCCTGTGGACCGGTTGGACCAACCGGCCAGTTGGTCCTGTGGACCGGTTGGACCAACCGGCCAGTTGGTCCTGTGGACCGGTTGGACCAACCGGCCAGTTGGTCCTGTGGACCGGTTGGACCAACCGGCCAGTTGGTCCTGTGGACCGGTTGGACCAACCGGCCAGTTGGTCCTGTGGACCGGTTGGACCAACCGGCCAGTTGGTCCTGTGGACCGGTTGGACCAACCGGCCAGTTGGTCCTGTGGACCGGTTGGACCAACCGGCCAGTTGGTCCTGTGGACCGGTTGGACCAACCGGCCAGTTGGTCCTGTGGACCGGTTGGACCAACCGGCCAGTTGGTCCTGTGGACCGGTTGGACCAACCGGCCAGTTGGTCCTGTGGACCGGTTGGACCAACCGGCCAGTTGGTCCTGTGGACCGGTTGGACCAACCGGCCAGTTGGTCCTGTGGACCGGTTGGACCAACCGGCCAGTTGGTCCTGTGGACCGGTTGGACCAACCGGCCAGTTGGTCCTGTGGACCGGTTGGACCAACCGGCCAGTTGGTCCTGTGGACCGGTTGGACCAACCGGCCAGTTGGTCCTGTGGACCGGTTGGACCAACCGGCCAGTTGGTCCTGTGGACCGGTTGGACCAACCGGCCAGTTGGTCCTGTGGACCGGTTGGACCAACCGGCCAGTTGGTCCTGTGGACCGGTTGGACCAACCGGCCAGTTGGTCCTGTGGACCGGTTGGACCAACCGGCCAGTTGGTCCTGTGGACCGGTTGGACCAACCGGCCAGTTGGTCCTGTGGACCGGTTGGACCAACCGGCCAGTTGGTCCTGTGGACCGGTTGGACCAACCGGCCAGTTGGTCCTGTGGACCGGTTGGACCAACCGGCCAGTTGGTCCTGTGGACCGGTTGGACCAACCGGCCAGTTGGTCCTGTGGACCGGTTGGACCAACCGGCCAGTTGGTCCTGTGGACCGGTTGGACCAACCGGCCAGTTGGTCCTGTGGACCGGTTGGACCAACCGGCCAGTTGGTCCTGTGGACCGGTTGGACCAACCGGCCAGTTGGTCCTGTGGACCGGTTGGACCAACCGGCCAGTTGGTCCTGTGGACCGGTTGGACCAACCGGCCAGTTGGTCCTGTGGACCGGTTGGACCAACCGGCCAGTTGGTCCTGTGGACCGGTTGGACCAACCGGCCAGTTGGTCCTGTGGACCGGTTGGACCAACCGGCCAGTTGGTCCTGTGGACCGGTTGGACCAACCGGCCAGTTGGTCCTGTGGACCGGTTGGACCAACCGGCCAGTTGGTCCTGTGGACCGGTTGGACCAACCGGCCAGTTGGTCCTGTGGACCGGTTGGACCAACCGGCCAGTTGGTCCTGTGGACCGGTTGGACCAACCGGCCAGTTGGTCCTGTGGACCGGTTGGACCAACCGGCCAGTTGGTCCTGTGGACCGGTTGGACCAACCGGCCAGTTGGTCCTGTGGACCGGTTGGACCAACCGGCCAGTTGGTCCTGTGGACCGGTTGGACCAACCGGCCAGTTGGTCCTGTGGACCGGTTGGACCAACCGGCCAGTTGGTCCTGTGGACCGGTTGGACCAACCGGCCAGTTGGTCCTGTGGACCGGTTGGACCAACCGGCCAGTTGGTCCTGTGGACCGGTTGGACCAACCGGCCAGTTGGTCCTGTGGACCGGTTGGACCAACCGGCCAGTTGGTCCTGTGGACCGGTTGGACCAACCGGCCAGTTGGTCCTGTGGACCGGTTGGACCAACCGGCCAGTTGGTCCTGTGGACCGGTTGGACCAACCGGCCAGTTGGTCCTGTGGACCGGTTGGACCAACCGGCCAGTTGGTCCTGTGGACCGGTTGGACCAACCGGCCAGTTGGTCCTGTGGACCGGTTGGACCAACCGGCCAGTTGGTCCTGTGGACCGGTTGGACCAACCGGCCAGTTGGTCCTGTGGACCGGTTGGACCAACCGGCCAGTTGGTCCTGTGGACCGGTTGGACCAACCGGCCAGTTGGTCCTGTGGACCGGTTGGACCAACCGGCCAGTTGGTCCTGTGGACCGGTTGGACCAACCGGCCAGTTGGTCCTGTGGACCGGTTGGACCAACCGGCCAGTTGGTCCTGTGGACCGGTTGGACCAACCGGCCAGTTGGTCCTGTGGACCGGTTGGACCAACCGGCCAGTTGGTCCTGTGGACCGGTTGGACCAACCGGCCAGTTGGTCCTGTGGACCGGTTGGACCAACCGGCCAGTTGGTCCTGTGGACCGGTTGGACCAACCGGCCAGTTGGTCCTGTGGACCGGTTGGACCAACCGGCCAGTTGGTCCTGTGGACCGGTTGGACCAACCGGCCAGTTGGTCCTGTGGACCGGTTGGACCAACCGGCCAGTTGGTCCTGTGGACCGGTTGGACCAACCGGCCAGTTGGTCCTGTGGACCGGTTGGACCAACCGGCCAGTTGGTCCTGTGGACCGGTTGGACCAACCGGCCAGTTGGTCCTGTGGACCGGTTGGACCAACCGGCCAGTTGGTCCTGTGGACCGGTTGGACCAACCGGCCAGTTGGTCCTGTGGACCGGTTGGACCAACCGGCCAGTTGGTCCTGTGGACCGGTTGGACCAACCGGCCAGTTGGTCCTGTGGACCGGTTGGACCAACCGGCCAGTTGGTCCTGTGGACCGGTTGGACCAACCGGCCAGTTGGTCCTGTGGACCGGTTGGACCAACCGGCCAGTTGGTCCTGTGGACCGGTTGGACCAACCGGCCAGTTGGTCCTGTGGACCGGTTGGACCAACCGGCCAGTTGGTCCTGTGGACCGGTTGGACCAACCGGCCAGTTGGTCCTGTGGACCGGTTGGACCAACCGGCCAGTTGGTCCTGTGGACCGGTTGGACCAACCGGCCAGTTGGTCCTGTGGACCGGTTGGACCAACCGGCCAGTTGGTCCTGTGGACCGGTTGGACCAACCGGCCAGTTGGTCCTGTGGACCGGTTGGACCAACCGGCCAGTTGGTCCTGTGGACCGGTTGGACCAACCGGCCAGTTGGTCCTGTGGACCGGTTGGACCAACCGGCCAGTTGGTCCTGTGGACCGGTTGGACCAACCGGCCAGTTGGTCCTGTGGACCGGTTGGACCAACCGGCCAGTTGGTCCTGTGGACCGGTTGGACCAACCGGCCAGTTGGTCCTGTGGACCGGTTGGACCAACCGGCCAGTTGGTCCTGTGGACCGGTTGGACCAACCGGCCAGTTGGTCCTGTGGACCGGTTGGACCAACCGGCCAGTTGGTCCTGTGGACCGGTTGGACCAACCGGCCAGTTGGTCCTGTGGACCGGTTGGACCAACCGGCCAGTTGGTCCTGTGGACCGGTTGGACCAACCGGCCAGTTGGTCCTGTGGACCGGTTGGACCAACCGGCCAGTTGGTCCTGTGGACCGGTTGGACCAACCGGCCAGTTGGTCCTGTGGACCGGTTGGACCAACCGGCCAGTTGGTCCTGTGGACCGGTTGGACCAACCGGCCAGTTGGTCCTGTGGACCGGTTGGACCAACCGGCCAGTTGGTCCTGTGGACCGGTTGGACCAACCGGCCAGTTGGTCCTGTGGACCGGTTGGACCAACCGGCCAGTTGGTCCTGTGGACCGGTTGGACCAACCGGCCAGTTGGTCCTGTGGACCGGTTGGACCAACCGGCCAGTTGGTCCTGTGGACCGGTTGGACCAACCGGCCAGTTGGTCCTGTGGACCGGTTGGACCAACCGGCCAGTTGGTCCTGTGGACCGGTTGGACCAACCGGCCAGTTGGTCCTGTGGACCGGTTGGACCAACCGGCCAGTTGGTCCTGTGGACCGGTTGGACCAACCGGCCAGTTGGTCCTGTGGACCGGTTGGACCAACCGGCCAGTTGGTCCTGTGGACCGGTTGGACCAACCGGCCAGTTGGTCCTGTGGACCGGTTGGACCAACCGGCCAGTTGGTCCTGTGGACCGGTTGGACCAACCGGCCAGTTGGTCCTGTGGACCGGTTGGACCAACCGGCCAGTTGGTCCTGTGGACCGGTTGGACCAACCGGCCAGTTGGTCCTGTGGACCGGTTGGACCAACCGGCCAGTTGGTCCTGTGGACCGGTTGGACCAACCGGCCAGTTGGTCCTGTGGACCGGTTGGACCAACCGGCCAGTTGGTCCTGTGGACCGGTTGGACCAACCGGCCAGTTGGTCCTGTGGACCGGTTGGACCAACCGGCCAGTTGGTCCTGTGGACCGGTTGGACCAACCGGCCAGTTGGTCCTGTGGACCGGTTGGACCAACCGGCCAGTTGGTCCTGTGGACCGGTTGGACCAACCGGCCAGTTGGTCCTGTGGACCGGTTGGACCAACCGGCCAGTTGGTCCTGTGGACCGGTTGGACCAACCGGCCAGTTGGTCCTGTGGACCGGTTGGACCAACCGGCCAGTTGGTCCTGTGGACCGGTTGGACCAACCGGCCAGTTGGTCCTGTGGACCGGTTGGACCAACCGGCCAGTTGGTCCTGTGGACCGGTTGGACCAACCGGCCAGTTGGTCCTGTGGACCGGTTGGACCAACCGGCCAGTTGGTCCTGTGGACCGGTTGGACCAACCGGCCAGTTGGTCCTGTGGACCGGTTGGACCAACCGGCCAGTTGGTCCTGTGGACCGGTTGGACCAACCGGCCAGTTGGTCCTGTGGACCGGTTGGACCAACCGGCCAGTTGGTCCTGTGGACCGGTTGGACCAACCGGCCAGTTGGTCCTGTGGACCGGTTGGACCAACCGGCCAGTTGGTCCTGTGGACCGGTTGGACCAACCGGCCAGTTGGTCCTGTGGACCGGTTGGACCAACCGGCCAGTTGGTCCTGTGGACCGGTTGGACCAACCGGCCAGTTGGTCCTGTGGACCGGTTGGACCAACCGGCCAGTTGGTCCTGTGGACCGGTTGGACCAACCGGCCAGTTGGTCCTGTGGACCGGTTGGACCAACCGGCCAGTTGGTCCTGTGGACCGGTTGGACCAACCGGCCAGTTGGTCCTGTGGACCGGTTGGACCAACCGGCCAGTTGGTCCTGTGGACCGGTTGGACCAACCGGCCAGTTGGTCCTGTGGACCGGTTGGACCAACCGGCCAGTTGGTCCTGTGGACCGGTTGGACCAACCGGCCAGTTGGTCCTGTGGACCGGTTGGACCAACCGGCCAGTTGGTCCTGTGGACCGGTTGGACCAACCGGCCAGTTGGTCCTGTGGACCGGTTGGACCAACCGGCCAGTTGGTCCTGTGGACCGGTTGGACCAACCGGCCAGTTGGTCCTGTGGACCGGTTGGACCAACCGGCCAGTTGGTCCTGTGGACCGGTTGGACCAACCGGCCAGTTGGTCCTGTGGACCGGTTGGACCAACCGGCCAGTTGGTCCTGTGGACCGGTTGGACCAACCGGCCAGTTGGTCCTGTGGACCGGTTGGACCAACCGGCCAGTTGGTCCTGTGGACCGGTTGGACCAACCGGCCAGTTGGTCCTGTGGACCGGTTGGACCAACCGGCCAGTTGGTCCTGTGGACCGGTTGGACCAACCGGCCAGTTGGTCCTGTGGACCGGTTGGACCAACCGGCCAGTTGGTCCTGTGGACCGGTTGGACCAACCGGCCAGTTGGTCCTGTGGACCGGTTGGACCAACCGGCCAGTTGGTCCTGTGGACCGGTTGGACCAACCGGCCAGTTGGTCCTGTGGACCGGTTGGACCAACCGGCCAGTTGGTCCTGTGGACCGGTTGGACCAACCGGCCAGTTGGTCCTGTGGACCGGTTGGACCAACCGGCCAGTTGGTCCTGTGGACCGGTTGGACCAACCGGCCAGTTGGTCCTGTGGACCGGTTGGACCAACCGGCCAGTTGGTCCTGTGGACCGGTTGGACCAACCGGCCAGTTGGTCCTGTGGACCGGTTGGACCAACCGGCCAGTTGGTCCTGTGGACCGGTTGGACCAACCGGCCAGTTGGTCCTGTGGACCGGTTGGACCAACCGGCCAGTTGGTCCTGTGGACCGGTTGGACCAACCGGCCAGTTGGTCCTGTGGACCGGTTGGACCAACCGGCCAGTTGGTCCTGTGGACCGGTTGGACCAACCGGCCAGTTGGTCCTGTGGACCGGTTGGACCAACCGGCCAGTTGGTCCTGTGGACCGGTTGGACCAACCGGCCAGTTGGTCCTGTGGACCGGTTGGACCAACCGGCCAGTTGGTCCTGTGGACCGGTTGGACCAACCGGCCAGTTGGTCCTGTGGACCGGTTGGACCAACCGGCCAGTTGGTCCTGTGGACCGGTTGGACCAACCGGCCAGTTGGTCCTGTGGACCGGTTGGACCAACCGGCCAGTTGGTCCTGTGGACCGGTTGGACCAACCGGCCAGTTGGTCCTGTGGACCGGTTGGACCAACCGGCCAGTTGGTCCTGTGGACCGGTTGGACCAACCGGCCAGTTGGTCCTGTGGACCGGTTGGACCAACCGGCCAGTTGGTCCTGTGGACCGGTTGGACCAACCGGCCAGTTGGTCCTGTGGACCGGTTGGACCAACCGGCCAGTTGGTCCTGTGGACCGGTTGGACCAACCGGCCAGTTGGTCCTGTGGACCGGTTGGACCAACCGGCCAGTTGGTCCTGTGGACCGGTTGGACCAACCGGCCAGTTGGTCCTGTGGACCGGTTGGACCAACCGGCCAGTTGGTCCTGTGGACCGGTTGGACCAACCGGCCAGTTGGTCCTGTGGACCGGTTGGACCAACCGGCCAGTTGGTCCTGTGGACCGGTTGGACCAACCGGCCAGTTGGTCCTGTGGACCGGTTGGACCAACCGGCCAGTTGGTCCTGTGGACCGGTTGGACCAACCGGCCAGTTGGTCCTGTGGACCGGTTGGACCAACCGGCCAGTTGGTCCTGTGGACCGGTTGGACCAACCGGCCAGTTGGTCCTGTGGACCGGTTGGACCAACCGGCCAGTTGGTCCTGTGGACCGGTTGGACCAACCGGCCAGTTGGTCCTGTGGACCGGTTGGACCAACCGGCCAGTTGGTCCTGTGGACCGGTTGGACCAACCGGCCAGTTGGTCCTGTGGACCGGTTGGACCAACCGGCCAGTTGGTCCTGTGGACCGGTTGGACCAACCGGCCAGTTGGTCCTGTGGACCGGTTGGACCAACCGGCCAGTTGGTCCTGTGGACCGGTTGGACCAACCGGCCAGTTGGTCCTGTGGACCGGTTGGACCAACCGGCCAGTTGGTCCTGTGGACCGGTTGGACCAACCGGCCAGTTGGTCCTGTGGACCGGTTGGACCAACCGGCCAGTTGGTCCTGTGGACCGGTTGGACCAACCGGCCAGTTGGTCCTGTGGACCGGTTGGACCAACCGGCCAGTTGGTCCTGTGGACCGGTTGGACCAACCGGCCAGTTGGTCCTGTGGACCGGTTGGACCAACCGGCCAGTTGGTCCTGTGGACCGGTTGGACCAACCGGCCAGTTGGTCCTGTGGACCGGTTGGACCAACCGGCCAGTTGGTCCTGTGGACCGGTTGGACCAACCGGCCAGTTGGTCCTGTGGACCGGTTGGACCAACCGGCCAGTTGGTCCTGTGGACCGGTTGGACCAACCGGCCAGTTGGTCCTGTGGACCGGTTGGACCAACCGGCCAGTTGGTCCTGTGGACCGGTTGGACCAACCGGCCAGTTGGTCCTGTGGACCGGTTGGACCAACCGGCCAGTTGGTCCTGTGGACCGGTTGGACCAACCGGCCAGTTGGTCCTGTGGACCGGTTGGACCAACCGGCCAGTTGGTCCTGTGGACCGGTTGGACCAACCGGCCAGTTGGTCCTGTGGACCGGTTGGACCAACCGGCCAGTTGGTCCTGTGGACCGGTTGGACCAACCGGCCAGTTGGTCCTGTGGACCGGTTGGACCAACCGGCCAGTTGGTCCTGTGGACCGGTTGGACCAACCGGCCAGTTGGTCCTGTGGACCGGTTGGACCAACCGGCCAGTTGGTCCTGTGGACCGGTTGGACCAACCGGCCAGTTGGTCCTGTGGACCGGTTGGACCAACCGGCCAGTTGGTCCTGTGGACCGGTTGGACCAACCGGCCAGTTGGTCCTGTGGACCGGTTGGACCAACCGGCCAGTTGGTCCTGTGGACCGGTTGGACCAACCGGCCAGTTGGTCCTGTGGACCGGTTGGACCAACCGGCCAGTTGGTCCTGTGGACCGGTTGGACCAACCGGCCAGTTGGTCCTGTGGACCGGTTGGACCAACCGGCCAGTTGGTCCTGTGGACCGGTTGGACCAACCGGCCAGTTGGTCCTGTGGACCGGTTGGACCAACCGGCCAGTTGGTCCTGTGGACCGGTTGGACCAACCGGCCAGTTGGTCCTGTGGACCGGTTGGACCAACCGGCCAGTTGGTCCTGTGGACCGGTTGGACCAACCGGCCAGTTGGTCCTGTGGACCGGTTGGACCAACCGGCCAGTTGGTCCTGTGGACCGGTTGGACCAACCGGCCAGTTGGTCCTGTGGACCGGTTGGACCAACCGGCCAGTTGGTCCTGTGGACCGGTTGGACCAACCGGCCAGTTGGTCCTGTGGACCGGTTGGACCAACCGGCCAGTTGGTCCTGTGGACCGGTTGGACCAACCGGCCAGTTGGTCCTGTGGACCGGTTGGACCAACCGGCCAGTTGGTCCTGTGGACCGGTTGGACCAACCGGCCAGTTGGTCCTGTGGACCGGTTGGACCAACCGGCCAGTTGGTCCTGTGGACCGGTTGGACCAACCGGCCAGTTGGTCCTGTGGACCGGTTGGACCAACCGGCCAGTTGGTCCTGTGGACCGGTTGGACCAACCGGCCAGTTGGTCCTGTGGACCGGTTGGACCAACCGGCCAGTTGGTCCTGTGGACCGGTTGGACCAACCGGCCAGTTGGTCCTGTGGACCGGTTGGACCAACCGGCCAGTTGGTCCTGTGGACCGGTTGGACCAACCGGCCAGTTGGTCCTGTGGACCGGTTGGACCAACCGGCCAGTTGGTCCTGTGGACCGGTTGGACCAACCGGCCAGTTGGTCCTGTGGACCGGTTGGACCAACCGGCCAGTTGGTCCTGTGGACCGGTTGGACCAACCGGCCAGTTGGTCCTGTGGACCGGTTGGACCAACCGGCCAGTTGGTCCTGTGGACCGGTTGGACCAACCGGCCAGTTGGTCCTGTGGACCGGTTGGACCAACCGGCCAGTTGGTCCTGTGGACCGGTTGGACCAACCGGCCAGTTGGTCCTGTGGACCGGTTGGACCAACCGGCCAGTTGGTCCTGTGGACCGGTTGGACCAACCGGCCAGTTGGTCCTGTGGACCGGTTGGACCAACCGGCCAGTTGGTCCTGTGGACCGGTTGGACCAACCGGCCAGTTGGTCCTGTGGACCGGTTGGACCAACCGGCCAGTTGGTCCTGTGGACCGGTTGGACCAACCGGCCAGTTGGTCCTGTGGACCGGTTGGACCAACCGGCCAGTTGGTCCTGTGGACCGGTTGGACCAACCGGCCAGTTGGTCCTGTGGACCGGTTGGACCAACCGGCCAGTTGGTCCTGTGGACCGGTTGGACCAACCGGCCAGTTGGTCCTGTGGACCGGTTGGACCAACCGGCCAGTTGGTCCTGTGGACCGGTTGGACCAACCGGCCAGTTGGTCCTGTGGACCGGTTGGACCAACCGGCCAGTTGGTCCTGTGGACCGGTTGGACCAACCGGCCAGTTGGTCCTGTGGACCGGTTGGACCAACCGGCCAGTTGGTCCTGTGGACCGGTTGGACCAACCGGCCAGTTGGTCCTGTGGACCGGTTGGACCAACCGGCCAGTTGGTCCTGTGGACCGGTTGGACCAACCGGCCAGTTGGTCCTGTGGACCGGTTGGACCAACCGGCCAGTTGGTCCTGTGGACCGGTTGGACCAACCGGCCAGTTGGTCCTGTGGACCGGTTGGACCAACCGGCCAGTTGGTCCTGTGGACCGGTTGGACCAACCGGCCAGTTGGTCCTGTGGACCGGTTGGACCAACCGGCCAGTTGGTCCTGTGGACCGGTTGGACCAACCGGCCAGTTGGTCCTGTGGACCGGTTGGACCAACCGGCCAGTTGGTCCTGTGGACCGGTTGGACCAACCGGCCAGTTGGTCCTGTGGACCGGTTGGACCAACCGGCCAGTTGGTCCTGTGGACCGGTTGGACCAACCGGCCAGTTGGTCCTGTGGACCGGTTGGACCAACCGGCCAGTTGGTCCTGTGGACCGGTTGGACCAACCGGCCAGTTGGTCCTGTGGACCGGTTGGACCAACCGGCCAGTTGGTCCTGTGGACCGGTTGGACCAACCGGCCAGTTGGTCCTGTGGACCGGTTGGACCAACCGGCCAGTTGGTCCTGTGGACCGGTTGGACCAACCGGCCAGTTGGTCCTGTGGACCGGTTGGACCAACCGGCCAGTTGGTCCTGTGGACCGGTTGGACCAACCGGCCAGTTGGTCCTGTGGACCGGTTGGACCAACCGGCCAGTTGGTCCTGTGGACCGGTTGGACCAACCGGCCAGTTGGTCCTGTGGACCGGTTGGACCAACCGGCCAGTTGGTCCTGTGGACCGGTTGGACCAACCGGCCAGTTGGTCCTGTGGACCGGTTGGACCAACCGGCCAGTTGGTCCTGTGGACCGGTTGGACCAACCGGCCAGTTGGTCCTGTGGACCGGTTGGACCAACCGGCCAGTTGGTCCTGTGGACCGGTTGGACCAACCGGCCAGTTGGTCCTGTGGACCGGTTGGACCAACCGGCCAGTTGGTCCTGTGGACCGGTTGGACCAACCGGCCAGTTGGTCCTGTGGACCGGTTGGACCAACCGGCCAGTTGGTCCTGTGGACCGGTTGGACCAACCGGCCAGTTGGTCCTGTGGACCGGTTGGACCAACCGGCCAGTTGGTCCTGTGGACCGGTTGGACCAACCGGCCAGTTGGTCCTGTGGACCGGTTGGACCAACCGGCCAGTTGGTCCTGTGGACCGGTTGGACCAACCGGCCAGTTGGTCCTGTGGACCGGTTGGACCAACCGGCCAGTTGGTCCTGTGGACCGGTTGGACCAACCGGCCAGTTGGTCCTGTGGACCGGTTGGACCAACCGGCCAGTTGGTCCTGTGGACCGGTTGGACCAACCGGCCAGTTGGTCCTGTGGACCGGTTGGACCAACCGGCCAGTTGGTCCTGTGGACCGGTTGGACCAACCGGCCAGTTGGTCCTGTGGACCGGTTGGACCAACCGGCCAGTTGGTCCTGTGGACCGGTTGGACCAACCGGCCAGTTGGTCCTGTGGACCGGTTGGACCAACCGGCCAGTTGGTCCTGTGGACCGGTTGGACCAACCGGCCAGTTGGTCCTGTGGACCGGTTGGACCAACCGGCCAGTTGGTCCTGTGGACCGGTTGGACCAACCGGCCAGTTGGTCCTGTGGACCGGTTGGACCAACCGGCCAGTTGGTCCTGTGGACCGGTTGGACCAACCGGCCAGTTGGTCCTGTGGACCGGTTGGACCAACCGGCCAGTTGGTCCTGTGGACCGGTTGGACCAACCGGCCAGTTGGTCCTGTGGACCGGTTGGACCAACCGGCCAGTTGGTCCTGTGGACCGGTTGGACCAACCGGCCAGTTGGTCCTGTGGACCGGTTGGACCAACCGGCCAGTTGGTCCTGTGGACCGGTTGGACCAACCGGCCAGTTGGTCCTGTGGACCGGTTGGACCAACCGGCCAGTTGGTCCTGTGGACCGGTTGGACCAACCGGCCAGTTGGTCCTGTGGACCGGTTGGACCAACCGGCCAGTTGGTCCTGTGGACCGGTTGGACCAACCGGCCAGTTGGTCCTGTGGACCGGTTGGACCAACCGGCCAGTTGGTCCTGTGGACCGGTTGGACCAACCGGCCAGTTGGTCCTGTGGACCGGTTGGACCAACCGGCCAGTTGGTCCTGTGGACCGGTTGGACCAACCGGCCAGTTGGTCCTGTGGACCGGTTGGACCAACCGGCCAGTTGGTCCTGTGGACCGGTTGGACCAACCGGCCAGTTGGTCCTGTGGACCGGTTGGACCAACCGGCCAGTTGGTCCTGTGGACCGGTTGGACCAACCGGCCAGTTGGTCCTGTGGACCGGTTGGACCAACCGGCCAGTTGGTCCTGTGGACCGGTTGGACCAACCGGCCAGTTGGTCCTGTGGACCGGTTGGACCAACCGGCCAGTTGGTCCTGTGGACCGGTTGGACCAACCGGCCAGTTGGTCCTGTGGACCGGTTGGACCAACCGGCCAGTTGGTCCTGTGGACCGGTTGGACCAACCGGCCAGTTGGTCCTGTGGACCGGTTGGACCAACCGGCCAGTTGGTCCTGTGGACCGGTTGGACCAACCGGCCAGTTGGTCCTGTGGACCGGTTGGACCAACCGGCCAGTTGGTCCTGTGGACCGGTTGGACCAACCGGCCAGTTGGTCCTGTGGACCGGTTGGACCAACCGGCCAGTTGGTCCTGTGGACCGGTTGGACCAACCGGCCAGTTGGTCCTGTGGACCGGTTGGACCAACCGGCCAGTTGGTCCTGTGGACCGGTTGGACCAACCGGCCAGTTGGTCCTGTGGACCGGTTGGACCAACCGGCCAGTTGGTCCTGTGGACCGGTTGGACCAACCGGCCAGTTGGTCCTGTGGACCGGTTGGACCAACCGGCCAGTTGGTCCTGTGGACCGGTTGGACCAACCGGCCAGTTGGTCCTGTGGACCGGTTGGACCAACCGGCCAGTTGGTCCTGTGGACCGGTTGGACCAACCGGCCAGTTGGTCCTGTGGACCGGTTGGACCAACCGGCCAGTTGGTCCTGTGGACCGGTTGGACCAACCGGCCAGTTGGTCCTGTGGACCGGTTGGACCAACCGGCCAGTTGGTCCTGTGGACCGGTTGGACCAACCGGCCAGTTGGTCCTGTGGACCGGTTGGACCAACCGGCCAGTTGGTCCTGTGGACCGGTTGGACCAACCGGCCAGTTGGTCCTGTGGACCGGTTGGACCAACCGGCCAGTTGGTCCTGTGGACCGGTTGGACCAACCGGCCAGTTGGTCCTGTGGACCGGTTGGACCAACCGGCCAGTTGGTCCTGTGGACCGGTTGGACCAACCGGCCAGTTGGTCCTGTGGACCGGTTGGACCAACCGGCCAGTTGGTCCTGTGGACCGGTTGGACCAACCGGCCAGTTGGTCCTGTGGACCGGTTGGACCAACCGGCCAGTTGGTCCTGTGGACCGGTTGGACCAACCGGCCAGTTGGTCCTGTGGACCGGTTGGACCAACCGGCCAGTTGGTCCTGTGGACCGGTTGGACCAACCGGCCAGTTGGTCCTGTGGACCGGTTGGACCAACCGGCCAGTTGGTCCTGTGGACCGGTTGGACCAACCGGCCAGTTGGTCCTGTGGACCGGTTGGACCAACCGGCCAGTTGGTCCTGTGGACCGGTTGGACCAACCGGCCAGTTGGTCCTGTGGACCGGTTGGACCAACCGGCCAGTTGGTCCTGTGGACCGGTTGGACCAACCGGCCAGTTGGTCCTGTGGACCGGTTGGACCAACCGGCCAGTTGGTCCTGTGGACCGGTTGGACCAACCGGCCAGTTGGTCCTGTGGACCGGTTGGACCAACCGGCCAGTTGGTCCTGTGGACCGGTTGGACCAACCGGCCAGTTGGTCCTGTGGACCGGTTGGACCAACCGGCCAGTTGGTCCTGTGGACCGGTTGGACCAACCGGCCAGTTGGTCCTGTGGACCGGTTGGACCAACCGGCCAGTTGGTCCTGTGGACCGGTTGGACCAACCGGCCAGTTGGTCCTGTGGACCGGTTGGACCAACCGGCCAGTTGGTCCTGTGGACCGGTTGGACCAACCGGCCAGTTGGTCCTGTGGACCGGTTGGACCAACCGGCCAGTTGGTCCTGTGGACCGGTTGGACCAACCGGCCAGTTGGTCCTGTGGACCGGTTGGACCAACCGGCCAGTTGGTCCTGTGGACCGGTTGGACCAACCGGCCAGTTGGTCCTGTGGACCGGTTGGACCAACCGGCCAGTTGGTCCTGTGGACCGGTTGGACCAACCGGCCAGTTGGTCCTGTGGACCGGTTGGACCAACCGGCCAGTTGGTCCTGTGGACCGGTTGGACCAACCGGCCAGTTGGTCCTGTGGACCGGTTGGACCAACCGGCCAGTTGGTCCTGTGGACCGGTTGGACCAACCGGCCAGTTGGTCCTGTGGACCGGTTGGACCAACCGGCCAGTTGGTCCTGTGGACCGGTTGGACCAACCGGCCAGTTGGTCCTGTGGACCGGTTGGACCAACCGGCCAGTTGGTCCTGTGGACCGGTTGGACCAACCGGCCAGTTGGTCCTGTGGACCGGTTGGACCAACCGGCCAGTTGGTCCTGTGGACCGGTTGGACCAACCGGCCAGTTGGTCCTGTGGACCGGTTGGACCAACCGGCCAGTTGGTCCTGTGGACCGGTTGGACCAACCGGCCAGTTGGTCCTGTGGACCGGTTGGACCAACCGGCCAGTTGGTCCTGTGGACCGGTTGGACCAACCGGCCAGTTGGTCCTGTGGACCGGTTGGACCAACCGGCCAGTTGGTCCTGTGGACCGGTTGGACCAACCGGCCAGTTGGTCCTGTGGACCGGTTGGACCAACCGGCCAGTTGGTCCTGTGGACCGGTTGGACCAACCGGCCAGTTGGTCCTGTGGACCGGTTGGACCAACCGGCCAGTTGGTCCTGTGGACCGGTTGGACCAACCGGCCAGTTGGTCCTGTGGACCGGTTGGACCAACCGGCCAGTTGGTCCTGTGGACCGGTTGGACCAACCGGCCAGTTGGTCCTGTGGACCGGTTGGACCAACCGGCCAGTTGGTCCTGTGGACCGGTTGGACCAACCGGCCAGTTGGTCCTGTGGACCGGTTGGACCAACCGGCCAGTTGGTCCTGTGGACCGGTTGGACCAACCGGCCAGTTGGTCCTGTGGACCGGTTGGACCAACCGGCCAGTTGGTCCTGTGGACCGGTTGGACCAACCGGCCAGTTGGTCCTGTGGACCGGTTGGACCAACCGGCCAGTTGGTCCTGTGGACCGGTTGGACCAACCGGCCAGTTGGTCCTGTGGACCGGTTGGACCAACCGGCCAGTTGGTCCTGTGGACCGGTTGGACCAACCGGCCAGTTGGTCCTGTGGACCGGTTGGACCAACCGGCCAGTTGGTCCTGTGGACCGGTTGGACCAACCGGCCAGTTGGTCCTGTGGACCGGTTGGACCAACCGGCCAGTTGGTCCTGTGGACCGGTTGGACCAACCGGCCAGTTGGTCCTGTGGACCGGTTGGACCAACCGGCCAGTTGGTCCTGTGGACCGGTTGGACCAACCGGCCAGTTGGTCCTGTGGACCGGTTGGACCAACCGGCCAGTTGGTCCTGTGGACCGGTTGGACCAACCGGCCAGTTGGTCCTGTGGACCGGTTGGACCAACCGGCCAGTTGGTCCTGTGGACCGGTTGGACCAACCGGCCAGTTGGTCCTGTGGACCGGTTGGACCAACCGGCCAGTTGGTCCTGTGGACCGGTTGGACCAACCGGCCAGTTGGTCCTGTGGACCGGTTGGACCAACCGGCCAGTTGGTCCTGTGGACCGGTTGGACCAACCGGCCAGTTGGTCCTGTGGACCGGTTGGACCAACCGGCCAGTTGGTCCTGTGGACCGGTTGGACCAACCGGCCAGTTGGTCCTGTGGACCGGTTGGACCAACCGGCCAGTTGGTCCTGTGGACCGGTTGGACCAACCGGCCAGTTGGTCCTGTGGACCGGTTGGACCAACCGGCCAGTTGGTCCTGTGGACCGGTTGGACCAACCGGCCAGTTGGTCCTGTGGACCGGTTGGACCAACCGGCCAGTTGGTCCTGTGGACCGGTTGGACCAACCGGCCAGTTGGTCCTGTGGACCGGTTGGACCAACCGGCCAGTTGGTCCTGTGGACCGGTTGGACCAACCGGCCAGTTGGTCCTGTGGACCGGTTGGACCAACCGGCCAGTTGGTCCTGTGGACCGGTTGGACCAACCGGCCAGTTGGTCCTGTGGACCGGTTGGACCAACCGGCCAGTTGGTCCTGTGGACCGGTTGGACCAACCGGCCAGTTGGTCCTGTGGACCGGTTGGACCAACCGGCCAGTTGGTCCTGTGGACCGGTTGGACCAACCGGCCAGTTGGTCCTGTGGACCGGTTGGACCAACCGGCCAGTTGGTCCTGTGGACCGGTTGGACCAACCGGCCAGTTGGTCCTGTGGACCGGTTGGACCAACCGGCCAGTTGGTCCTGTGGACCGGTTGGACCAACCGGCCAGTTGGTCCTGTGGACCGGTTGGACCAACCGGCCAGTTGGTCCTGTGGACCGGTTGGACCAACCGGCCAGTTGGTCCTGTGGACCGGTTGGACCAACCGGCCAGTTGGTCCTGTGGACCGGTTGGACCAACCGGCCAGTTGGTCCTGTGGACCGGTTGGACCAACCGGCCAGTTGGTCCTGTGGACCGGTTGGACCAACCGGCCAGTTGGTCCTGTGGACCGGTTGGACCAACCGGCCAGTTGGTCCTGTGGACCGGTTGGACCAACCGGCCAGTTGGTCCTGTGGACCGGTTGGACCAACCGGCCAGTTGGTCCTGTGGACCGGTTGGACCAACCGGCCAGTTGGTCCTGTGGACCGGTTGGACCAACCGGCCAGTTGGTCCTGTGGACCGGTTGGACCAACCGGCCAGTTGGTCCTGTGGACCGGTTGGACCAACCGGCCAGTTGGTCCTGTGGACCGGTTGGACCAACCGGCCAGTTGGTCCTGTGGACCGGTTGGACCAACCGGCCAGTTGGTCCTGTGGACCGGTTGGACCAACCGGCCAGTTGGTCCTGTGGACCGGTTGGACCAACCGGCCAGTTGGTCCTGTGGACCGGTTGGACCAACCGGCCAGTTGGTCCTGTGGACCGGTTGGACCAACCGGCCAGTTGGTCCTGTGGACCGGTTGGACCAACCGGCCAGTTGGTCCTGTGGACCGGTTGGACCAACCGGCCAGTTGGTCCTGTGGACCGGTTGGACCAACCGGCCAGTTGGTCCTGTGGACCGGTTGGACCAACCGGCCAGTTGGTCCTGTGGACCGGTTGGACCAACCGGCCAGTTGGTCCTGTGGACCGGTTGGACCAACCGGCCAGTTGGTCCTGTGGACCGGTTGGACCAACCGGCCAGTTGGTCCTGTGGACCGGTTGGACCAACCGGCCAGTTGGTCCTGTGGACCGGTTGGACCAACCGGCCAGTTGGTCCTGTGGACCGGTTGGACCAACCGGCCAGTTGGTCCTGTGGACCGGTTGGACCAACCGGCCAGTTGGTCCTGTGGACCGGTTGGACCAACCGGCCAGTTGGTCCTGTGGACCGGTTGGACCAACCGGCCAGTTGGTCCTGTGGACCGGTTGGACCAACCGGCCAGTTGGTCCTGTGGACCGGTTGGACCAACCGGCCAGTTGGTCCTGTGGACCGGTTGGACCAACCGGCCAGTTGGTCCTGTGGACCGGTTGGACCAACCGGCCAGTTGGTCCTGTGGACCGGTTGGACCAACCGGCCAGTTGGTCCTGTGGACCGGTTGGACCAACCGGCCAGTTGGTCCTGTGGACCGGTTGGACCAACCGGCCAGTTGGTCCTGTGGACCGGTTGGACCAACCGGCCAGTTGGTCCTGTGGACCGGTTGGACCAACCGGCCAGTTGGTCCTGTGGACCGGTTGGACCAACCGGCCAGTTGGTCCTGTGGACCGGTTGGACCAACCGGCCAGTTGGTCCTGTGGACCGGTTGGACCAACCGGCCAGTTGGTCCTGTGGACCGGTTGGACCAACCGGCCAGTTGGTCCTGTGGACCGGTTGGACCAACCGGCCAGTTGGTCCTGTGGACCGGTTGGACCAACCGGCCAGTTGGTCCTGTGGACCGGTTGGACCAACCGGCCAGTTGGTCCTGTGGACCGGTTGGACCAACCGGCCAGTTGGTCCTGTGGACCGGTTGGACCAACCGGCCAGTTGGTCCTGTGGACCGGTTGGACCAACCGGCCAGTTGGTCCTGTGGACCGGTTGGACCAACCGGCCAGTTGGTCCTGTGGACCGGTTGGACCAACCGGCCAGTTGGTCCTGTGGACCGGTTGGACCAACCGGCCAGTTGGTCCTGTGGACCGGTTGGACCAACCGGCCAGTTGGTCCTGTGGACCGGTTGGACCAACCGGCCAGTTGGTCCTGTGGACCGGTTGGACCAACCGGCCAGTTGGTCCTGTGGACCGGTTGGACCAACCGGCCAGTTGGTCCTGTGGACCGGTTGGACCAACCGGCCAGTTGGTCCTGTGGACCGGTTGGACCAACCGGCCAGTTGGTCCTGTGGACCGGTTGGACCAACCGGCCAGTTGGTCCTGTGGACCGGTTGGACCAACCGGCCAGTTGGTCCTGTGGACCGGTTGGACCAACCGGCCAGTTGGTCCTGTGGACCGGTTGGACCAACCGGCCAGTTGGTCCTGTGGACCGGTTGGACCAACCGGCCAGTTGGTCCTGTGGACCGGTTGGACCAACCGGCCAGTTGGTCCTGTGGACCGGTTGGACCAACCGGCCAGTTGGTCCTGTGGACCGGTTGGACCAACCGGCCAGTTGGTCCTGTGGACCGGTTGGACCAACCGGCCAGTTGGTCCTGTGGACCGGTTGGACCAACCGGCCAGTTGGTCCTGTGGACCGGTTGGACCAACCGGCCAGTTGGTCCTGTGGACCGGTTGGACCAACCGGCCAGTTGGTCCTGTGGACCGGTTGGACCAACCGGCCAGTTGGTCCTGTGGACCGGTTGGACCAACCGGCCAGTTGGTCCTGTGGACCGGTTGGACCAACCGGCCAGTTGGTCCTGTGGACCGGTTGGACCAACCGGCCAGTTGGTCCTGTGGACCGGTTGGACCAACCGGCCAGTTGGTCCTGTGGACCGGTTGGACCAACCGGCCAGTTGGTCCTGTGGACCGGTTGGACCAACCGGCCAGTTGGTCCTGTGGACCGGTTGGACCAACCGGCCAGTTGGTCCTGTGGACCGGTTGGACCAACCGGCCAGTTGGTCCTGTGGACCGGTTGGACCAACCGGCCAGTTGGTCCTGTGGACCGGTTGGACCAACCGGCCAGTTGGTCCTGTGGACCGGTTGGACCAACCGGCCAGTTGGTCCTGTGGACCGGTTGGACCAACCGGCCAGTTGGTCCTGTGGACCGGTTGGACCAACCGGCCAGTTGGTCCTGTGGACCGGTTGGACCAACCGGCCAGTTGGTCCTGTGGACCGGTTGGACCAACCGGCCAGTTGGTCCTGTGGACCGGTTGGACCAACCGGCCAGTTGGTCCTGTGGACCGGTTGGACCAACCGGCCAGTTGGTCCTGTGGACCGGTTGGACCAACCGGCCAGTTGGTCCTGTGGACCGGTTGGACCAACCGGCCAGTTGGTCCTGTGGACCGGTTGGACCAACCGGCCAGTTGGTCCTGTGGACCGGTTGGACCAACCGGCCAGTTGGTCCTGTGGACCGGTTGGACCAACCGGCCAGTTGGTCCTGTGGACCGGTTGGACCAACCGGCCAGTTGGTCCTGTGGACCGGTTGGACCAACCGGCCAGTTGGTCCTGTGGACCGGTTGGACCAACCGGCCAGTTGGTCCTGTGGACCGGTTGGACCAACCGGCCAGTTGGTCCTGTGGACCGGTTGGACCAACCGGCCAGTTGGTCCTGTGGACCGGTTGGACCAACCGGCCAGTTGGTCCTGTGGACCGGTTGGACCAACCGGCCAGTTGGTCCTGTGGACCGGTTGGACCAACCGGCCAGTTGGTCCTGTGGACCGGTTGGACCAACCGGCCAGTTGGTCCTGTGGACCGGTTGGACCAACCGGCCAGTTGGTCCTGTGGACCGGTTGGACCAACCGGCCAGTTGGTCCTGTGGACCGGTTGGACCAACCGGCCAGTTGGTCCTGTGGACCGGTTGGACCAACCGGCCAGTTGGTCCTGTGGACCGGTTGGACCAACCGGCCAGTTGGTCCTGTGGACCGGTTGGACCAACCGGCCAGTTGGTCCTGTGGACCGGTTGGACCAACCGGCCAGTTGGTCCTGTGGACCGGTTGGACCAACCGGCCAGTTGGTCCTGTGGACCGGTTGGACCAACCGGCCAGTTGGTCCTGTGGACCGGTTGGACCAACCGGCCAGTTGGTCCTGTGGACCGGTTGGACCAACCGGCCAGTTGGTCCTGTGGACCGGTTGGACCAACCGGCCAGTTGGTCCTGTGGACCGGTTGGACCAACCGGCCAGTTGGTCCTGTGGACCGGTTGGACCAACCGGCCAGTTGGTCCTGTGGACCGGTTGGACCAACCGGCCAGTTGGTCCTGTGGACCGGTTGGACCAACCGGCCAGTTGGTCCTGTGGACCGGTTGGACCAACCGGCCAGTTGGTCCTGTGGACCGGTTGGACCAACCGGCCAGTTGGTCCTGTGGACCGGTTGGACCAACCGGCCAGTTGGTCCTGTGGACCGGTTGGACCAACCGGCCAGTTGGTCCTGTGGACCGGTTGGACCAACCGGCCAGTTGGTCCTGTGGACCGGTTGGACCAACCGGCCAGTTGGTCCTGTGGACCGGTTGGACCAACCGGCCAGTTGGTCCTGTGGACCGGTTGGACCAACCGGCCAGTTGGTCCTGTGGACCGGTTGGACCAACCGGCCAGTTGGTCCTGTGGACCGGTTGGACCAACCGGCCAGTTGGTCCTGTGGACCGGTTGGACCAACCGGCCAGTTGGTCCTGTGGACCGGTTGGACCAACCGGCCAGTTGGTCCTGTGGACCGGTTGGACCAACCGGCCAGTTGGTCCTGTGGACCGGTTGGACCAACCGGCCAGTTGGTCCTGTGGACCGGTTGGACCAACCGGCCAGTTGGTCCTGTGGACCGGTTGGACCAACCGGCCAGTTGGTCCTGTGGACCGGTTGGACCAACCGGCCAGTTGGTCCTGTGGACCGGTTGGACCAACCGGCCAGTTGGTCCTGTGGACCGGTTGGACCAACCGGCCAGTTGGTCCTGTGGACCGGTTGGACCAACCGGCCAGTTGGTCCTGTGGACCGGTTGGACCAACCGGCCAGTTGGTCCTGTGGACCGGTTGGACCAACCGGCCAGTTGGTCCTGTGGACCGGTTGGACCAACCGGCCAGTTGGTCCTGTGGACCGGTTGGACCAACCGGCCAGTTGGTCCTGTGGACCGGTTGGACCAACCGGCCAGTTGGTCCTGTGGACCGGTTGGACCAACCGGCCAGTTGGTCCTGTGGACCGGTTGGACCAACCGGCCAGTTGGTCCTGTGGACCGGTTGGACCAACCGGCCAGTTGGTCCTGTGGACCGGTTGGACCAACCGGCCAGTTGGTCCTGTGGACCGGTTGGACCAACCGGCCAGTTGGTCCTGTGGACCGGTTGGACCAACCGGCCAGTTGGTCCTGTGGACCGGTTGGACCAACCGGCCAGTTGGTCCTGTGGACCGGTTGGACCAACCGGCCAGTTGGTCCTGTGGACCGGTTGGACCAACCGGCCAGTTGGTCCTGTGGACCGGTTGGACCAACCGGCCAGTTGGTCCTGTGGACCGGTTGGACCAACCGGCCAGTTGGTCCTGTGGACCGGTTGGACCAACCGGCCAGTTGGTCCTGTGGACCGGTTGGACCAACCGGCCAGTTGGTCCTGTGGACCGGTTGGACCAACCGGCCAGTTGGTCCTGTGGACCGGTTGGACCAACCGGCCAGTTGGTCCTGTGGACCGGTTGGACCAACCGGCCAGTTGGTCCTGTGGACCGGTTGGACCAACCGGCCAGTTGGTCCTGTGGACCGGTTGGACCAACCGGCCAGTTGGTCCTGTGGACCGGTTGGACCAACCGGCCAGTTGGTCCTGTGGACCGGTTGGACCAACCGGCCAGTTGGTCCTGTGGACCGGTTGGACCAACCGGCCAGTTGGTCCTGTGGACCGGTTGGACCAACCGGCCAGTTGGTCCTGTGGACCGGTTGGACCAACCGGCCAGTTGGTCCTGTGGACCGGTTGGACCAACCGGCCAGTTGGTCCTGTGGACCGGTTGGACCAACCGGCCAGTTGGTCCTGTGGACCGGTTGGACCAACCGGCCAGTTGGTCCTGTGGACCGGTTGGACCAACCGGCCAGTTGGTCCTGTGGACCGGTTGGACCAACCGGCCAGTTGGTCCTGTGGACCGGTTGGACCAACCGGCCAGTTGGTCCTGTGGACCGGTTGGACCAACCGGCCAGTTGGTCCTGTGGACCGGTTGGACCAACCGGCCAGTTGGTCCTGTGGACCGGTTGGACCAACCGGCCAGTTGGTCCTGTGGACCGGTTGGACCAACCGGCCAGTTGGTCCTGTGGACCGGTTGGACCAACCGGCCAGTTGGTCCTGTGGACCGGTTGGACCAACCGGCCAGTTGGTCCTGTGGACCGGTTGGACCAACCGGCCAGTTGGTCCTGTGGACCGGTTGGACCAACCGGCCAGTTGGTCCTGTGGACCGGTTGGACCAACCGGCCAGTTGGTCCTGTGGACCGGTTGGACCAACCGGCCAGTTGGTCCTGTGGACCGGTTGGACCAACCGGCCAGTTGGTCCTGTGGACCGGTTGGACCAACCGGCCAGTTGGTCCTGTGGACCGGTTGGACCAACCGGCCAGTTGGTCCTGTGGACCGGTTGGACCAACCGGCCAGTTGGTCCTGTGGACCGGTTGGACCAACCGGCCAGTTGGTCCTGTGGACCGGTTGGACCAACCGGCCAGTTGGTCCTGTGGACCGGTTGGACCAACCGGCCAGTTGGTCCTGTGGACCGGTTGGACCAACCGGCCAGTTGGTCCTGTGGACCGGTTGGACCAACCGGCCAGTTGGTCCTGTGGACCGGTTGGACCAACCGGCCAGTTGGTCCTGTGGACCGGTTGGACCAACCGGCCAGTTGGTCCTGTGGACCGGTTGGACCAACCGGCCAGTTGGTCCTGTGGACCGGTTGGACCAACCGGCCAGTTGGTCCTGTGGACCGGTTGGACCAACCGGCCAGTTGGTCCTGTGGACCGGTTGGACCAACCGGCCAGTTGGTCCTGTGGACCGGTTGGACCAACCGGCCAGTTGGTCCTGTGGACCGGTTGGACCAACCGGCCAGTTGGTCCTGTGGACCGGTTGGACCAACCGGCCAGTTGGTCCTGTGGACCGGTTGGACCAACCGGCCAGTTGGTCCTGTGGACCGGTTGGACCAACCGGCCAGTTGGTCCTGTGGACCGGTTGGACCAACCGGCCAGTTGGTCCTGTGGACCGGTTGGACCAACCGGCCAGTTGGTCCTGTGGACCGGTTGGACCAACCGGCCAGTTGGTCCTGTGGACCGGTTGGACCAACCGGCCAGTTGGTCCTGTGGACCGGTTGGACCAACCGGCCAGTTGGTCCTGTGGACCGGTTGGACCAACCGGCCAGTTGGTCCTGTGGACCGGTTGGACCAACCGGCCAGTTGGTCCTGTGGACCGGTTGGACCAACCGGCCAGTTGGTCCTGTGGACCGGTTGGACCAACCGGCCAGTTGGTCCTGTGGACCGGTTGGACCAACCGGCCAGTTGGTCCTGTGGACCGGTTGGACCAACCGGCCAGTTGGTCCTGTGGACCGGTTGGACCAACCGGCCAGTTGGTCCTGTGGACCGGTTGGACCAACCGGCCAGTTGGTCCTGTGGACCGGTTGGACCAACCGGCCAGTTGGTCCTGTGGACCGGTTGGACCAACCGGCCAGTTGGTCCTGTGGACCGGTTGGACCAACCGGCCAGTTGGTCCTGTGGACCGGTTGGACCAACCGGCCAGTTGGTCCTGTGGACCGGTTGGACCAACCGGCCAGTTGGTCCTGTGGACCGGTTGGACCAACCGGCCAGTTGGTCCTGTGGACCGGTTGGACCAACCGGCCAGTTGGTCCTGTGGACCGGTTGGACCAACCGGCCAGTTGGTCCTGTGGACCGGTTGGACCAACCGGCCAGTTGGTCCTGTGGACCGGTTGGACCAACCGGCCAGTTGGTCCTGTGGACCGGTTGGACCAACCGGCCAGTTGGTCCTGTGGACCGGTTGGACCAACCGGCCAGTTGGTCCTGTGGACCGGTTGGACCAACCGGCCAGTTGGTCCTGTGGACCGGTTGGACCAACCGGCCAGTTGGTCCTGTGGACCGGTTGGACCAACCGGCCAGTTGGTCCTGTGGACCGGTTGGACCAACCGGCCAGTTGGTCCTGTGGACCGGTTGGACCAACCGGCCAGTTGGTCCTGTGGACCGGTTGGACCAACCGGCCAGTTGGTCCTGTGGACCGGTTGGACCAACCGGCCAGTTGGTCCTGTGGACCGGTTGGACCAACCGGCCAGTTGGTCCTGTGGACCGGTTGGACCAACCGGCCAGTTGGTCCTGTGGACCGGTTGGACCAACCGGCCAGTTGGTCCTGTGGACCGGTTGGACCAACCGGCCAGTTGGTCCTGTGGACCGGTTGGACCAACCGGCCAGTTGGTCCTGTGGACCGGTTGGACCAACCGGCCAGTTGGTCCTGTGGACCGGTTGGACCAACCGGCCAGTTGGTCCTGTGGACCGGTTGGACCAACCGGCCAGTTGGTCCTGTGGACCGGTTGGACCAACCGGCCAGTTGGTCCTGTGGACCGGTTGGACCAACCGGCCAGTTGGTCCTGTGGACCGGTTGGACCAACCGGCCAGTTGGTCCTGTGGACCGGTTGGACCAACCGGCCAGTTGGTCCTGTGGACCGGTTGGACCAACCGGCCAGTTGGTCCTGTGGACCGGTTGGACCAACCGGCCAGTTGGTCCTGTGGACCGGTTGGACCAACCGGCCAGTTGGTCCTGTGGACCGGTTGGACCAACCGGCCAGTTGGTCCTGTGGACCGGTTGGACCAACCGGCCAGTTGGTCCTGTGGACCGGTTGGACCAACCGGCCAGTTGGTCCTGTGGACCGGTTGGACCAACCGGCCAGTTGGTCCTGTGGACCGGTTGGACCAACCGGCCAGTTGGTCCTGTGGACCGGTTGGACCAACCGGCCAGTTGGTCCTGTGGACCGGTTGGACCAACCGGCCAGTTGGTCCTGTGGACCGGTTGGACCAACCGGCCAGTTGGTCCTGTGGACCGGTTGGACCAACCGGCCAGTTGGTCCTGTGGACCGGTTGGACCAACCGGCCAGTTGGTCCTGTGGACCGGTTGGACCAACCGGCCAGTTGGTCCTGTGGACCGGTTGGACCAACCGGCCAGTTGGTCCTGTGGACCGGTTGGACCAACCGGCCAGTTGGTCCTGTGGACCGGTTGGACCAACCGGCCAGTTGGTCCTGTGGACCGGTTGGACCAACCGGCCAGTTGGTCCTGTGGACCGGTTGGACCAACCGGCCAGTTGGTCCTGTGGACCGGTTGGACCAACCGGCCAGTTGGTCCTGTGGACCGGTTGGACCAACCGGCCAGTTGGTCCTGTGGACCGGTTGGACCAACCGGCCAGTTGGTCCTGTGGACCGGTTGGACCAACCGGCCAGTTGGTCCTGTGGACCGGTTGGACCAACCGGCCAGTTGGTCCTGTGGACCGGTTGGACCAACCGGCCAGTTGGTCCTGTGGACCGGTTGGACCAACCGGCCAGTTGGTCCTGTGGACCGGTTGGACCAACCGGCCAGTTGGTCCTGTGGACCGGTTGGACCAACCGGCCAGTTGGTCCTGTGGACCGGTTGGACCAACCGGCCAGTTGGTCCTGTGGACCGGTTGGACCAACCGGCCAGTTGGTCCTGTGGACCGGTTGGACCAACCGGCCAGTTGGTCCTGTGGACCGGTTGGACCAACCGGCCAGTTGGTCCTGTGGACCGGTTGGACCAACCGGCCAGTTGGTCCTGTGGACCGGTTGGACCAACCGGCCAGTTGGTCCTGTGGACCGGTTGGACCAACCGGCCAGTTGGTCCTGTGGACCGGTTGGACCAACCGGCCAGTTGGTCCTGTGGACCGGTTGGACCAACCGGCCAGTTGGTCCTGTGGACCGGTTGGACCAACCGGCCAGTTGGTCCTGTGGACCGGTTGGACCAACCGGCCAGTTGGTCCTGTGGACCGGTTGGACCAACCGGCCAGTTGGTCCTGTGGACCGGTTGGACCAACCGGCCAGTTGGTCCTGTGGACCGGTTGGACCAACCGGCCAGTTGGTCCTGTGGACCGGTTGGACCAACCGGCCAGTTGGTCCTGTGGACCGGTTGGACCAACCGGCCAGTTGGTCCTGTGGACCGGTTGGACCAACCGGCCAGTTGGTCCTGTGGACCGGTTGGACCAACCGGCCAGTTGGTCCTGTGGACCGGTTGGACCAACCGGCCAGTTGGTCCTGTGGACCGGTTGGACCAACCGGCCAGTTGGTCCTGTGGACCGGTTGGACCAACCGGCCAGTTGGTCCTGTGGACCGGTTGGACCAACCGGCCAGTTGGTCCTGTGGACCGGTTGGACCAACCGGCCAGTTGGTCCTGTGGACCGGTTGGACCAACCGGCCAGTTGGTCCTGTGGACCGGTTGGACCAACCGGCCAGTTGGTCCTGTGGACCGGTTGGACCAACCGGCCAGTTGGTCCTGTGGACCGGTTGGACCAACCGGCCAGTTGGTCCTGTGGACCGGTTGGACCAACCGGCCAGTTGGTCCTGTGGACCGGTTGGACCAACCGGCCAGTTGGTCCTGTGGACCGGTTGGACCAACCGGCCAGTTGGTCCTGTGGACCGGTTGGACCAACCGGCCAGTTGGTCCTGTGGACCGGTTGGACCAACCGGCCAGTTGGTCCTGTGGACCGGTTGGACCAACCGGCCAGTTGGTCCTGTGGACCGGTTGGACCAACCGGCCAGTTGGTCCTGTGGACCGGTTGGACCAACCGGCCAGTTGGTCCTGTGGACCGGTTGGACCAACCGGCCAGTTGGTCCTGTGGACCGGTTGGACCAACCGGCCAGTTGGTCCTGTGGACCGGTTGGACCAACCGGCCAGTTGGTCCTGTGGACCGGTTGGACCAACCGGCCAGTTGGTCCTGTGGACCGGTTGGACCAACCGGCCAGTTGGTCCTGTGGACCGGTTGGACCAACCGGCCAGTTGGTCCTGTGGACCGGTTGGACCAACCGGCCAGTTGGTCCTGTGGACCGGTTGGACCAACCGGCCAGTTGGTCCTGTGGACCGGTTGGACCAACCGGCCAGTTGGTCCTGTGGACCGGTTGGACCAACCGGCCAGTTGGTCCTGTGGACCGGTTGGACCAACCGGCCAGTTGGTCCTGTGGACCGGTTGGACCAACCGGCCAGTTGGTCCTGTGGACCGGTTGGACCAACCGGCCAGTTGGTCCTGTGGACCGGTTGGACCAACCGGCCAGTTGGTCCTGTGGACCGGTTGGACCAACCGGCCAGTTGGTCCTGTGGACCGGTTGGACCAACCGGCCAGTTGGTCCTGTGGACCGGTTGGACCAACCGGCCAGTTGGTCCTGTGGACCGGTTGGACCAACCGGCCAGTTGGTCCTGTGGACCGGTTGGACCAACCGGCCAGTTGGTCCTGTGGACCGGTTGGACCAACCGGCCAGTTGGTCCTGTGGACCGGTTGGACCAACCGGCCAGTTGGTCCTGTGGACCGGTTGGACCAACCGGCCAGTTGGTCCTGTGGACCGGTTGGACCAACCGGCCAGTTGGTCCTGTGGACCGGTTGGACCAACCGGCCAGTTGGTCCTGTGGACCGGTTGGACCAACCGGCCAGTTGGTCCTGTGGACCGGTTGGACCAACCGGCCAGTTGGTCCTGTGGACCGGTTGGACCAACCGGCCAGTTGGTCCTGTGGACCGGTTGGACCAACCGGCCAGTTGGTCCTGTGGACCGGTTGGACCAACCGGCCAGTTGGTCCTGTGGACCGGTTGGACCAACCGGCCAGTTGGTCCTGTGGACCGGTTGGACCAACCGGCCAGTTGGTCCTGTGGACCGGTTGGACCAACCGGCCAGTTGGTCCTGTGGACCGGTTGGACCAACCGGCCAGTTGGTCCTGTGGACCGGTTGGACCAACCGGCCAGTTGGTCCTGTGGACCGGTTGGACCAACCGGCCAGTTGGTCCTGTGGACCGGTTGGACCAACCGGCCAGTTGGTCCTGTGGACCGGTTGGACCAACCGGCCAGTTGGTCCTGTGGACCGGTTGGACCAACCGGCCAGTTGGTCCTGTGGACCGGTTGGACCAACCGGCCAGTTGGTCCTGTGGACCGGTTGGACCAACCGGCCAGTTGGTCCTGTGGACCGGTTGGACCAACCGGCCAGTTGGTCCTGTGGACCGGTTGGACCAACCGGCCAGTTGGTCCTGTGGACCGGTTGGACCAACCGGCCAGTTGGTCCTGTGGACCGGTTGGACCAACCGGCCAGTTGGTCCTGTGGACCGGTTGGACCAACCGGCCAGTTGGTCCTGTGGACCGGTTGGACCAACCGGCCAGTTGGTCCTGTGGACCGGTTGGACCAACCGGCCAGTTGGTCCTGTGGACCGGTTGGACCAACCGGCCAGTTGGTCCTGTGGACCGGTTGGACCAACCGGCCAGTTGGTCCTGTGGACCGGTTGGACCAACCGGCCAGTTGGTCCTGTGGACCGGTTGGACCAACCGGCCAGTTGGTCCTGTGGACCGGTTGGACCAACCGGCCAGTTGGTCCTGTGGACCGGTTGGACCAACCGGCCAGTTGGTCCTGTGGACCGGTTGGACCAACCGGCCAGTTGGTCCTGTGGACCGGTTGGACCAACCGGCCAGTTGGTCCTGTGGACCGGTTGGACCAACCGGCCAGTTGGTCCTGTGGACCGGTTGGACCAACCGGCCAGTTGGTCCTGTGGACCGGTTGGACCAACCGGCCAGTTGGTCCTGTGGACCGGTTGGACCAACCGGCCAGTTGGTCCTGTGGACCGGTTGGACCAACCGGCCAGTTGGTCCTGTGGACCGGTTGGACCAACCGGCCAGTTGGTCCTGTGGACCGGTTGGACCAACCGGCCAGTTGGTCCTGTGGACCGGTTGGACCAACCGGCCAGTTGGTCCTGTGGACCGGTTGGACCAACCGGCCAGTTGGTCCTGTGGACCGGTTGGACCAACCGGCCAGTTGGTCCTGTGGACCGGTTGGACCAACCGGCCAGTTGGTCCTGTGGACCGGTTGGACCAACCGGCCAGTTGGTCCTGTGGACCGGTTGGACCAACCGGCCAGTTGGTCCTGTGGACCGGTTGGACCAACCGGCCAGTTGGTCCTGTGGACCGGTTGGACCAACCGGCCAGTTGGTCCTGTGGACCGGTTGGACCAACCGGCCAGTTGGTCCTGTGGACCGGTTGGACCAACCGGCCAGTTGGTCCTGTGGACCGGTTGGACCAACCGGCCAGTTGGTCCTGTGGACCGGTTGGACCAACCGGCCAGTTGGTCCTGTGGACCGGTTGGACCAACCGGCCAGTTGGTCCTGTGGACCGGTTGGACCAACCGGCCAGTTGGTCCTGTGGACCGGTTGGACCAACCGGCCAGTTGGTCCTGTGGACCGGTTGGACCAACCGGCCAGTTGGTCCTGTGGACCGGTTGGACCAACCGGCCAGTTGGTCCTGTGGACCGGTTGGACCAACCGGCCAGTTGGTCCTGTGGACCGGTTGGACCAACCGGCCAGTTGGTCCTGTGGACCGGTTGGACCAACCGGCCAGTTGGTCCTGTGGACCGGTTGGACCAACCGGCCAGTTGGTCCTGTGGACCGGTTGGACCAACCGGCCAGTTGGTCCTGTGGACCGGTTGGACCAACCGGCCAGTTGGTCCTGTGGACCGGTTGGACCAACCGGCCAGTTGGTCCTGTGGACCGGTTGGACCAACCGGCCAGTTGGTCCTGTGGACCGGTTGGACCAACCGGCCAGTTGGTCCTGTGGACCGGTTGGACCAACCGGCCAGTTGGTCCTGTGGACCGGTTGGACCAACCGGCCAGTTGGTCCTGTGGACCGGTTGGACCAACCGGCCAGTTGGTCCTGTGGACCGGTTGGACCAACCGGCCAGTTGGTCCTGTGGACCGGTTGGACCAACCGGCCAGTTGGTCCTGTGGACCGGTTGGACCAACCGGCCAGTTGGTCCTGTGGACCGGTTGGACCAACCGGCCAGTTGGTCCTGTGGACCGGTTGGACCAACCGGCCAGTTGGTCCTGTGGACCGGTTGGACCAACCGGCCAGTTGGTCCTGTGGACCGGTTGGACCAACCGGCCAGTTGGTCCTGTGGACCGGTTGGACCAACCGGCCAGTTGGTCCTGTGGACCGGTTGGACCAACCGGCCAGTTGGTCCTGTGGACCGGTTGGACCAACCGGCCAGTTGGTCCTGTGGACCGGTTGGACCAACCGGCCAGTTGGTCCTGTGGACCGGTTGGACCAACCGGCCAGTTGGTCCTGTGGACCGGTTGGACCAACCGGCCAGTTGGTCCTGTGGACCGGTTGGACCAACCGGCCAGTTGGTCCTGTGGACCGGTTGGACCAACCGGCCAGTTGGTCCTGTGGACCGGTTGGACCAACCGGCCAGTTGGTCCTGTGGACCGGTTGGACCAACCGGCCAGTTGGTCCTGTGGACCGGTTGGACCAACCGGCCAGTTGGTCCTGTGGACCGGTTGGACCAACCGGCCAGTTGGTCCTGTGGACCGGTTGGACCAACCGGCCAGTTGGTCCTGTGGACCGGTTGGACCAACCGGCCAGTTGGTCCTGTGGACCGGTTGGACCAACCGGCCAGTTGGTCCTGTGGACCGGTTGGACCAACCGGCCAGTTGGTCCTGTGGACCGGTTGGACCAACCGGCCAGTTGGTCCTGTGGACCGGTTGGACCAACCGGCCAGTTGGTCCTGTGGACCGGTTGGACCAACCGGCCAGTTGGTCCTGTGGACCGGTTGGACCAACCGGCCAGTTGGTCCTGTGGACCGGTTGGACCAACCGGCCAGTTGGTCCTGTGGACCGGTTGGACCAACCGGCCAGTTGGTCCTGTGGACCGGTTGGACCAACCGGCCAGTTGGTCCTGTGGACCGGTTGGACCAACCGGCCAGTTGGTCCTGTGGACCGGTTGGACCAACCGGCCAGTTGGTCCTGTGGACCGGTTGGACCAACCGGCCAGTTGGTCCTGTGGACCGGTTGGACCAACCGGCCAGTTGGTCCTGTGGACCGGTTGGACCAACCGGCCAGTTGGTCCTGTGGACCGGTTGGACCAACCGGCCAGTTGGTCCTGTGGACCGGTTGGACCAACCGGCCAGTTGGTCCTGTGGACCGGTTGGACCAACCGGCCAGTTGGTCCTGTGGACCGGTTGGACCAACCGGCCAGTTGGTCCTGTGGACCGGTTGGACCAACCGGCCAGTTGGTCCTGTGGACCGGTTGGACCAACCGGCCAGTTGGTCCTGTGGACCGGTTGGACCAACCGGCCAGTTGGTCCTGTGGACCGGTTGGACCAACCGGCCAGTTGGTCCTGTGGACCGGTTGGACCAACCGGCCAGTTGGTCCTGTGGACCGGTTGGACCAACCGGCCAGTTGGTCCTGTGGACCGGTTGGACCAACCGGCCAGTTGGTCCTGTGGACCGGTTGGACCAACCGGCCAGTTGGTCCTGTGGACCGGTTGGACCAACCGGCCAGTTGGTCCTGTGGACCGGTTGGACCAACCGGCCAGTTGGTCCTGTGGACCGGTTGGACCAACCGGCCAGTTGGTCCTGTGGACCGGTTGGACCAACCGGCCAGTTGGTCCTGTGGACCGGTTGGACCAACCGGCCAGTTGGTCCTGTGGACCGGTTGGACCAACCGGCCAGTTGGTCCTGTGGACCGGTTGGACCAACCGGCCAGTTGGTCCTGTGGACCGGTTGGACCAACCGGCCAGTTGGTCCTGTGGACCGGTTGGACCAACCGGCCAGTTGGTCCTGTGGACCGGTTGGACCAACCGGCCAGTTGGTCCTGTGGACCGGTTGGACCAACCGGCCAGTTGGTCCTGTGGACCGGTTGGACCAACCGGCCAGTTGGTCCTGTGGACCGGTTGGACCAACCGGCCAGTTGGTCCTGTGGACCGGTTGGACCAACCGGCCAGTTGGTCCTGTGGACCGGTTGGACCAACCGGCCAGTTGGTCCTGTGGACCGGTTGGACCAACCGGCCAGTTGGTCCTGTGGACCGGTTGGACCAACCGGCCAGTTGGTCCTGTGGACCGGTTGGACCAACCGGCCAGTTGGTCCTGTGGACCGGTTGGACCAACCGGCCAGTTGGTCCTGTGGACCGGTTGGACCAACCGGCCAGTTGGTCCTGTGGACCGGTTGGACCAACCGGCCAGTTGGTCCTGTGGACCGGTTGGACCAACCGGCCAGTTGGTCCTGTGGACCGGTTGGACCAACCGGCCAGTTGGTCCTGTGGACCGGTTGGACCAACCGGCCAGTTGGTCCTGTGGACCGGTTGGACCAACCGGCCAGTTGGTCCTGTGGACCGGTTGGACCAACCGGCCAGTTGGTCCTGTGGACCGGTTGGACCAACCGGCCAGTTGGTCCTGTGGACCGGTTGGACCAACCGGCCAGTTGGTCCTGTGGACCGGTTGGACCAACCGGCCAGTTGGTCCTGTGGACCGGTTGGACCAACCGGCCAGTTGGTCCTGTGGACCGGTTGGACCAACCGGCCAGTTGGTCCTGTGGACCGGTTGGACCAACCGGCCAGTTGGTCCTGTGGACCGGTTGGACCAACCGGCCAGTTGGTCCTGTGGACCGGTTGGACCAACCGGCCAGTTGGTCCTGTGGACCGGTTGGACCAACCGGCCAGTTGGTCCTGTGGACCGGTTGGACCAACCGGCCAGTTGGTCCTGTGGACCGGTTGGACCAACCGGCCAGTTGGTCCTGTGGACCGGTTGGACCAACCGGCCAGTTGGTCCTGTGGACCGGTTGGACCAACCGGCCAGTTGGTCCTGTGGACCGGTTGGACCAACCGGCCAGTTGGTCCTGTGGACCGGTTGGACCAACCGGCCAGTTGGTCCTGTGGACCGGTTGGACCAACCGGCCAGTTGGTCCTGTGGACCGGTTGGACCAACCGGCCAGTTGGTCCTGTGGACCGGTTGGACCAACCGGCCAGTTGGTCCTGTGGACCGGTTGGACCAACCGGCCAGTTGGTCCTGTGGACCGGTTGGACCAACCGGCCAGTTGGTCCTGTGGACCGGTTGGACCAACCGGCCAGTTGGTCCTGTGGACCGGTTGGACCAACCGGCCAGTTGGTCCTGTGGACCGGTTGGACCAACCGGCCAGTTGGTCCTGTGGACCGGTTGGACCAACCGGCCAGTTGGTCCTGTGGACCGGTTGGACCAACCGGCCAGTTGGTCCTGTGGACCGGTTGGACCAACCGGCCAGTTGGTCCTGTGGACCGGTTGGACCAACCGGCCAGTTGGTCCTGTGGACCGGTTGGACCAACCGGCCAGTTGGTCCTGTGGACCGGTTGGACCAACCGGCCAGTTGGTCCTGTGGACCGGTTGGACCAACCGGCCAGTTGGTCCTGTGGACCGGTTGGACCAACCGGCCAGTTGGTCCTGTGGACCGGTTGGACCAACCGGCCAGTTGGTCCTGTGGACCGGTTGGACCAACCGGCCAGTTGGTCCTGTGGACCGGTTGGACCAACCGGCCAGTTGGTCCTGTGGACCGGTTGGACCAACCGGCCAGTTGGTCCTGTGGACCGGTTGGACCAACCGGCCAGTTGGTCCTGTGGACCGGTTGGACCAACCGGCCAGTTGGTCCTGTGGACCGGTTGGACCAACCGGCCAGTTGGTCTGTGGACCGGTTGGACCAACCGGCCAGTTGGTCCTGTGGACCGGTTGGACCAACCGGCCAGTTGGTCCTGTGGACCGGTTGGACCAACCGGCCAGTTGGTCCTGTGGACCGGTTGGACCAACCGGCCAGTTGGTCCTGTGGACCGGTTGGACCAACCGGCCAGTTGGTCCTGTGGACCGGTTGGACCAACCGGCCAGTTGGTCCTGTGGACCGGTTGGACCAACCGGCCAGTTGGTCCTGTGGACCGGTTGGACCAACCGGCCAGTTGGTCCTGTGGACCGGTTGGACCAACCGGCCAGTTGGTCCTGTGGACCGGTTGGACCAACCGGCCAGTTGGTCTGTGGACCGGTTGGACCAACCGGCCAGTTGGTCCTGTGGACCGGTTGGACCAACCGGCCAGTTGGTCCTGTGGACCGGTTGGACCAACCGGCCAGTTGGTCCTGTGGACCGGTTGGACCAACCGGCCAGTTGGTCCTGTGGACCGGTTGGACCAACCGGCCAGTTGGTCCTGTGGACCGGTTGGACCAACCGGCCAGTTGGTCCTGTGGACCGGTTGGACCAACCGGCCAGTTGGTCCTGTGGACCGGTTGGACCAACCGGCCAGTTGGTCTGTGGACCGGTTGGACCAACCGGCCAGTTGGTCCTGTGGACCGGTTGGACCAACCGGCCAGTTGGTCCTGTGGACCGGTTGGACCAACCGGCCAGTTGGTCCTGTGGACCGGTTGGACCAACCGGCCAGTTGGTCCTGTGGACCGGTTGGACCAACCGGCCAGTTGGTCCTGTGGACCGGTTGGACCAACCGGCCAGTTGGTCCTGTGGACCGGTTGGACCAACCGGCCAGTTGGTCCTGTGGACCGGTTGGACCAACCGGCCAGTTGGTCCTGTGGACCGGTTGGACCAACCGGCCAGTTGGTCCTGTGGACCGGTTGGACCAACCGGCCAGTTGGTCCTGTGGACCGGTTGGACCAACCGGCCAGTTGGTCCTGTGGACCGGTTGGACCAACCGGCCAGTTGGTCCTGTGGACCGGTTGGACCAACCGGCCAGTTGGTCTGTGGACCGGTTGGACCAACCGGCCAGTTGGTCCTGTGGACCGGTTGGACCAACCGGCCAGTTGGTCCTGTGGACCGGTTGGACCAACCGGCCAGTTGGTCCTGTGGACCGGTGGTCCGAACCGGCCAGTTGGTCCTGTGGACCGGTTGGTCCCAACCGGCCAGTTGGTCTGTGGACCGGTTGGTCCAACCGGCCAGTTGGTCCTGTGGGACCGTTGGACCAACCGGCCAGTTGGTCCTGTGGACCGGTTGGTCCAACCGGCCAGTTGGTCCTGTGGACCGGTTGGACCAACACGGCCAGTTGGTCATGTGGACCGTTGCCAACCGGCCAGTTGGTCCTGTGGACCGGTTGGTCCAACCGGCCAGTTGGTCCGTGGACCGGTTGGACCAAACCGGCCAGTTGGTCCTGTGGACCGGTTGGACCAACCGGCCAGTTGGTCCTGTGGACCGGTTGGTCCAACCGGCCAGTTGGTCCTGGTGGACCGGTTGGTTCCAACCGGCCAGTTGGTCCTGTGGACCGGTTGGACCAACCGGCCAGTTGGTCCTGTGGAACCGGTTGGTCCAACCGGCCAGTTGGTCCTGTGGGACCGGTTGACCAACCGGCCAGTTGGTCCGGTGGACCGGTTGACGTCAACCGGCCAGTTGGTCCTGTGGACCGGTGGAACCAACCGGCCAGTTGGTCCTGTGGACCGGTTGGACCAACCGGCCAGTTGGTCCTGTGGAACCGGTTGGTCCAACCGGCCAGTTGGTCCTGTGGACCGGTTGGACCAACCGGCCAGTTGGTCCTGTGGACCGGTTGGACCAACCGGCCAGTTGGTCCTGTGGACCGGTTGGACCAACCGGCCAGTTGGTCATGTGGACCGGTTGGACCAACCGGCCAGTTGGTCCTGTGGACCGGTTGGTACCAACCGGCCAGTTGGTCCTGTGGACCGGTTGGTCCAACCGGCCAGTTGGTCCTGTGGACCGGTTGGTCCAACCGGCCAGTTGGTCCTGTGGACCGGTTGGTCCAACCGGCCAGTTGGTCCTGTGGACCGGTTGGACCAACCGGCCAGTTGGTCATGTGGACCGGTTGGTCCAACCGGCCAGTTGGTCCTGTGGACCGGTTGGACCAACCGGCCAGTTGGTCCTGTGGACCGGTTGGACCAACCGGCCAGTTGGTCCTGTGGACCGGTTGGACCAACCGGCCAGTTGGTCCCTGTGGGACCGGTTGGACCAACCGGCCAGTTGGGGGGGGTGGATCCAACCGGTCAGGTGGTCCTGTGACCGGTTGGTACCAACCGGCAGTTGGTCCTGTGGACCGGGTTGGTACCAACCGGCCAAGGTTGGTCCTGTGGACCGGTTGGACCAACCGGCCAGTTGGTCCTGTGGGACCGGTTGGGACCAACCGGCCAGTATGGTCCTGTGGACCGGTTGGACCAACCGGCCAGTTGGTCATGTGGACGGTTGGTCCAACCGGCCAGTTGGTCCTGTGGACCGGTTGGACCAACCGGCCAGTTGGTCCTGTGGACCGGTTGGACCAACCGGCCAGTTGGTCCTGTGGGACCGGTTGGACCAACCGGCCAGTTGGTCCTGTGGACCGGTTGGGTCCAACCGGCCAGTTGGTCCTGTGGACCGGTTGGTCCAACCGGCCAGTTGGTCCTGTGGACCGGTTGGACCAACCGGCCAGTTGGTCCTGTGGACCGGTTGGTCCAACCGGCCAGTTGGTCCTGTGGACCGGTTGGACCAACCGGCCAGTTGGTCCTGTGGACCGGTTGGTCCAACCGGCCAGTTGGTCCTGTGGACCGGTTTGGACCAACCGGCCAGTTGGTCCTGTGGACCGGTTGGACCAACCGGCCAGTTGGTCCTGTGGACCGGTTGGACCAACCGGCCAGTTGGTCATGTGGACCGGGTTGGTCCAACCGGCCAGTTGTCCTGTGGACCCGGTTGGACCAACCGGCCAGTTGGTCATGTGGACCGGTTGGTCCAACCGGCCAGTTGGTCCTGTGGACCGGTTGGACCAACCGGCCAGTTGGTCCTGTGGACCGGTTGGTCCAACCGGCCAGTTGGTCCTGTGGACCGGTTGGACCAACCGGCCAGTTGGTCATGTGGACCGGTTGGTCCAAACGGCCAGTTGGTCCTGTGGACCGGTTGGCCAACCGGCCAGTTGGTCCTGTGGACCGGTTGGTCCAACCGGCCAGTTGGTCCTGTGGACCGGTTGGCTCAACCGGCCAGTTGGTCCTGTGGACCGGTTGGTCCAACCGGCCAGTTGGTCCTGTGGACCGGTTGGACCAACCGGCCAGTTGGTCCTGTGGACCGGTTGGACCAACCGGCCAGTTGGTCCTGTGGACCGGTTGGACCAACCGGCCAGTTGGTCCTGTGGACCGGTGGACCAACGGCCAGTTGGTCATGTGGACGGTTGGACCAACCGGCAGTTGGTCCTGTGGACCGGTTGGTACCAACCGGGCCCAGATTGGGTCCTGCAGTGGACCGGTTGGTCCAACGGCCAGTTGGTCCTTGTGGACCGGTTGGACCAACCGGCCAGTTGGTCCTGTGGACCGGTTGGTCCAACGGCCAGTTGGTCCTGTGGACCGGTTGGACCAACCGGCAGTTGGTCCTTGTGTGGACGGTTGGACCAACCGGCCAGTGGTCCTGTGGGACGGTTGGTCCAAACCGGCCAGTTGGTCATGTGGACCGGTTGGTCCAACCGGCCAGTTGGTCCTGTGGACCGGTTGGTCCAACCGGCCAGTTGGTCCTGTGGACCGGTTGGACCAACCGGCCAGGTTGGTCCCTGTGGACGGTTGGACCAACCGGCCAGTTGGTCTGTGGACCGGTGGGACCAACCGGCCAGTTGGTCATGTGGGACCTGTTGGACAACGGCCAGTTTGGTCCTGTGGACCGGTTGGACCAACCGGCCAGTTGGTCATGTGGACCGGTTGGTCCAACCGGCCAGTTGGTCCTGTGGACCGGTTGGACCAACCGGCCAGTTGGTCATGTGGACCGGTTGGTCCAACCGGCCAGTTGGTCCTGTGGACCGGTTGGTCCAACCGGCCAGTTGGTCATGTGGACCGGTTGGACCAACCGGCCAGTTGGTCCTGTGGACCGGTTGGACAACCCGGCCAGTTGGTCATGTTGGACCGGTTGGTCCAACCGGCCAGTTGGTCCTGTGGACCGGTTGGATCCAATACCGGCCAGTTGGTCATGTGGACCGGTTGGACCAACCGGCCAGTTGGTCCTGTGGACCGGTTGGTCCGCAACCGGCCAGTTGAGTCCTGTGGACCGGTTGGACCAACCGGCCAGTTGGTCCTGTGGACCGGTTGGTACCAACCGGCCAGTTGGTCCTGTGGACCGGTTGGACCAACCGGCGCAGTTGGTCCTGTGGACCGGTTGGGACCAACCGGCCAGTTGGTCCTGTGGACCGGTTGGTCCAACCGGCCAGTTGGTCCTGTGGACCGGTTTGGACCAACCGGCAGTTCTGTGCCGGCCTTGGGGCACTGGTGTGACCGGTTTTGGGTCCAACCGGCCAGTTGGTCCTGTGGACCGGTTGGTCCAACCGGCCAGTTGGTCCTGTGGACCGGTTGGTCCAACCGGCCAGTTGGTCCTGTGGACCGGTTTGGTCCAACCGGCCAGTTGGTCATTGTGGACCGGTTGGTACCAACCGGCCAGTTGGTCATGTGGACCGGTTGGTACCAACCGGCCAGTTGGTCCTGTGGACCGGTTGGTCCAACCGGCCAGTTGGTCATGTGGACCGGTTGGTACCAACCGGCCAGTTGGTCCTTGTGGACCCGGTTGGACCAACCGGCCAGTTGGTCCTGTGGACCGGTTGGTACCAACCGGCCAGTTGGTCCTGTGGACCGGTTGGACCAACCGGCCAGTGGTCCTGTGGACCGGTTGGTCCAACCGGCCAGTTGGTTCCTGTGGACCGGTTGGTCCAACCGGCCAGTTGGTCCTGTGGACCGGTTGGTACCAACCGGCCAGTTGGTCCTGTGGACCGGTTGGTCCAACCGGCCAGTTGGTCCTGTGGACCGGTTGGTACCAACCGGCCAGTTGGTCCTGTGGACCGGTTGGACCAACCGGCCAGTTGGTCCTGTGGACCGGTTGGACCAACCGGCCAGTTGGTCCTGTGGACCGGTTGGGTCCAACCGGCCAGTTGGTCCTGTGGACCGGCCAAGTTGGTCCTGTGGACCGGTTGGGTACCAAACCGGCCAGTTGGTCCTGGTGACCGGTTGGACCAACCGGGCCAGTTGGTCATGTGGACCGGTTGGACCAACCGGCCATTTGGTCCTGTGGACCGGTTGGACCAACCGCCAGTTGGTCATGTGGACCGGTTTGGACCAACCGGCCAGTTTGGTCCGTGGACCGGTTGGACCAACCGGCCAGTTGGTCCTGTGGACCGGTTGGACCAACCGCCAGTTGGTCATGTGGACCGGTTGTCCAACCGGCCAGTTGGTCCTGTGGACCGGTTGGACGCAACCGGCCAGTTGGTCATGTGGACCGGTTGGACCAACCGGCCAGTTGGTCCTGTGGACCGGTTGGACCAACCGGCCAGTTGGTCCTGTGGACCGGTTGGACCAACCGGCCAGTTGGTCCTGTGGACCGGTTGGGACCAACCGGCCAGTTGGTCATGTGGACCGGTTGGACCAACCGGCCAGTTGGTCATGGTGGACCCGGCGTTGGTCCAACCGGCCAGTTGGTCTGTGGACCGGTTGGACCAACCGGCCTAGTTGGTCCTGTGGGACCGGTTTGGACCAACCGGCCAGTTGGTCCTGTGGACCGGTTGGACCAACCGGCCAGTTGGTCATGTGGACCGGTTGGTCACCAACCGGCCAGTTGGTCTGTGGACCGGTTGGCCAACCGGCCAGTTGGTCATGTGGGACCGGTTGGTCCAACCGGCCAGTTGGTCCTGTGGACCGGTTGGTCCAACCGGCCAGTTGGTCCTGTGGACCGGTTGGTACCAACCGGCCAGTTGGTCCTGTGGACCGGTTGGACCAACCGGCCAGTTGGTCCTGTGGACCGGTTGGACCAACCGGCCAGTTGTCCTGTGGACCGGTTGGACCAACCGGCCAGTTGGTCATGTGGACCGGTTGGTCCAACCGGCCAGTTGGTCCTGTGGACCGGTTGGACAACCGGCCAGTTGGTCATGTGGACGGTTGGACCAACCGGCCAGTTTGGTCCTGTGGACCGGTTGGACCAACCGGCCTAGTTGGTCCTGTGGACCGGTTGGTCCAACCGGCCAGTTGGTCCTGTGGACCGGTTGGACCAACCGGCCAGTTGGTCATGTGGACCGGTTGGACCAACCGGCCAGTTGGTCCTGTGGACCGGTTGGATCCAACCGGCAGTTGGTCCTGTGGACCGGTTGGACCAACCGGCCAGTTGGTCCTGTGGACCGGTTGGTACCAACCGGCCAGTTGGTCCTGTGGACCGGTTGGACCAACCGGCCAGTTGGTCATGTGGACCGGTTGGTACCAACGGCCAGTTGGTCCTGTGGACGGTTGGACCAACCGGCCAGTTGGTCCTGTGGACCGGTTGGACCAACCGGCCAGTTGGTCCTGTGGACCGGTTGGATCCAACCGGCCAGTTGGTCCTCGTGGACCGGTTGGTCCAACCGGCCAGTTGGTCCTGTGGACCGGTGGACCAACCGGCCCAGTTGTCCTGTGGACCGGTTTGTCCAACGGCCAGTTGGTCCTGTGGACCGGTTGGACCAACCGGCCAGTTGGTCCTGTGGACCGGTTGGTACCAACCGGCCAGTTGGTCCTGTGGACCGGTTGGACCAACCGGCCAGTTGGTCCTTGTGGACCGGTTGGTCCAACCGGCCAGTTGGTCCTGTGGACCGGTTGGACCAACCGGCCAGTTGGTCCTGTGGACGGTTGGACCAACCGGCCAGTTGGTCCTGTGGACCGGTTGGTACCAACCGGCCAGTTGGTCCTGTGGACCGGTTGGTCCAACCGGCCAGTTGGTCCTGTGGACCGGTTGGTCCAACCGGCCAGTGGTCCTGTGGGACCGGTTGGACCAGTTGGTCATGTGGACCGGTTGGACCAACCGGCCAGTTGGTCCTGTGGACCGGTTGGACCAACCGGCCAGTTGGTCCATGTGGACCGGTTGGTACCAACCGGCCAGTTGGTCCTGTGGACCGGTTGGACCAACCGGCCAGTTGGGTCCTGTGGACCGGTTGGACCAACCGGCCAGTTGGTCATGTGGACCGGTTGGTCCAACCGGCCAGTTGGTCCTGTGGACCGGTTGGACCAACCGGCCAGTTGGTCATGTGGACCGGTTGGACCAACCGGCCAGTTGGTCCTGTGGACCGGTTGGACCAACCGGCCAGTTGGTCCTGTGGACCGGTTTGGTACAACCGGCCAGTTGGTCCTGTGGACCGGTTTGGACCAACCGGCCAGTTGGTCCTGTGGACCGGTTGGACCAACCGGCCAGTTGGTCCTGTGGACCGGTTGGACCAACCGGCCAGTTGGTCCTGTGGACCGGTTGGACCAACCGGCCAGTTGGTCCTGTGGACCGGTTGGTACCAACCGGCCAGTTGGTCCTGTGGACCGGTTGGACCAACCGGCCAGTTGGTCATGTGGACCGGTTGGTACCAACCGGCCAGTTGGTCCTGTGGACCGGTTGGACCAACCGGCCAGTTGGTCGGTTGGACCAACCGGCCAGTTGGTCCTGTGGACCGGTTGGACCAACCGGCCAGTTGGTCCTGTGGACCGGTTGGACCAACCGGCCAGTTGGTCATGTGGACCGGTTGGACCAACCGGCCAGTTGGTCCTGTGGACCGGTTGGACCAACCGGCCAGTTGGTCCTGTGGACCGGTTGGACCAACCGGCCAGTTGGTCCTGTGGACCGGTTGGACCAACCGGCCAGTTGGTCCTGTGGACCGGTTGGACCAAACGGCCAGTTGGTCCTGTGGACCGGTGGACCAACCGGCCAGTTGGTCCTGTGGACCGTTGGACCAACCGGCCAGTTGGTCCTGTGGACCGGTTGGACCAACCGGCCAGTGGTCTGTGGACCGGTTGGACCAACCGGCCAGTTGGTCCTGTGGACCGGTTGGACCAACGGCCAGTTGGTCCTGTGGACCGGTTGGACCAACCGGCCAGTTGGTCATGTGGACCGGTTGGTCCAACCGGCCAGTTGGTCATGTGGACCGGTTGGACAACCGGGCCAGTTGGTCCTGTGGACCGGTTGGACCAACCGGCCAGTTGGTCCTGTGGACCGGTTGGACCAACCGGCCCAGTTGGTCATGTGGACCGGTTTGGACCAACGGCCAGTTGGTCATGTGGACCGGTTGGACCAACCGGCCAGTTGGTCCTGTGGACCCGGTTGGTCCAACCGGCCAGTTGGTCCTGTGGACCGGTTGGTCCAATCCGGCCAGTTGGTCCTGTGGACCGGTTGGATCCAACCGGCCAGTTGGTCCTGTGGACCGGTTGGACCAACCGGCCAGTTGGTCCTGTGGGACCGGTTGGACCAACCGGCCAGTTGGTCCTGTGGACCGGTTGGTACCAACCGGCCAGTTGGTCCTGTGGACCGGTTGGACCAACCGGCCAGTTGGTCCTGTGGACCGGTTGGACCAACCGGCCAGTTGGTCCTGTGGGACCGGTTGACCAACCGGCCAGTTGGTCCTGTGGACCGGTTGGACCAACCGGCCAGTTGGTCATGTGGACCGGTTGGACAACCGGCCAGTGGTCCGGTTGGACCAACCGGCCAGTTGGTCCTGTGGACCGGTTGGACCAACCGGCCAGTTGGTCCTGTGGACCGGTTGGACCAACCGGCCAGTTGGTCCTGTGGACCGGTTGGACCAACCGGCCAGTTGGTCCTGTGGACCGGTTGGACCAACGGCCAGTTGGTCATGTGGACCGGTTGGACCAACCGGCCAGTTGGTCCTGTGGACCGGTTGGACCAACCGGCCAGTTGGTCCTGTGGACCGGTTGGACCAACCGGCCAGTTGGTCATGTGGACCGGTTGGACCAACCGGCCAGTTGGTCCTGTGGACCGGTTGGACCAACGGCCAGTTGGTCTGTGGACCGGTTGGACCAACCGGCCAGTTGGTCATGTGGACCGGTTGGACCAACCGGCCAGTTGGTCCTGTGGACGGTTGGACCAACCGGCCAGTTGGTCCTGTGGACCGGTTGGACCAACCGGCCAGTTGGTCCTGTGGACCGGTTGGTCAATGTGCCCGGTTGGTCCAACCGGCCAGTTGGTCCTGTGGACCGGTTGGACCAACCGGCCAGTTGGTCCTGTGGACCGGTTGACCAACCGGCCAGTGTTGGTCCTGTGGACCGGTTGACCAACCGGCCAGTTGGTCATGTGGACCGGTTGGACCAACCGGCCAAGTTGGTCATGTGGACCGGTTGGTCCAACCGGCCAGTTGGTCCTGTGGACCGGTTGGACCAACCGGCTCCGTTGGTCCGTGGACCGGTTGGACCAACTGGCCAGTTGGTCCTGTGGACCGGTTGGACCAACCGGCCAGTTGGTCCTGTGGACCGGTTGGACCAACCGGCCAGTGGTCATGTGGACCGGTTGACCAACCGGCCAGTTGGTCCTGTGGACCGGTTGGACCAACCGGCCAGTTGGTCCTGTGGACCGGTTGGTCCAACCGGCCAGTTGGTCCTGTGGACCGGTTGGACCAACCGGCCAGTTGGTCCTGTGGACCGGTTGGACCAACCGGCCAGTTGGTCCTGTGGACCGGTTGGACCAACCGGCCAGTTGGTACATGTGGACCGGTTGGACCAAACCGGCCAGTTGGTCCTGTGGACCGGTTGGACCAACCGGCCAGTTGGTCTGTGGACCGGTTGGACCAACCGGCCAGTTGTCGTCTGTGGGACCGGTTGGACCAACCGGCCAGTTGGTCCTGTGGAACGGTTGGACCAACCGGCCATGGTCCTGTGGACCGGTTGGACCAACCGGCCAGTTGGTCATGTGGACCGGTTGGACCAACCGGCCAGTTGGTCCTGTGGACCGGTTGGACCAACGGCCAGTTGGTCCTGGACCGGTTGGTCCAACCGGCCAGTTGGTCCTGTGGACCGGTTGGACCAACCGGCCAGTGGTCCTGTGGACGGTTGGACAAACCGGCCAGTTGGTCCTGTGGACGGTTGGACCAACCGGATTGTGGTCCTGTGGACCGGTTGGACCAACCGGCCAGTTGGTACTGTGGACCGGTTGGACCAACGGCAGTTGGTCATGTGGACCGGTGGGTCCAACCGGCCAGTTGGTCTGTGGACCGGTTGGACCACCGGCCAGTTGGTCCTGTG